TTGACCGTGAAAGAGCTGTGCTAGAAGATAAGGCTATGATTTCCATGGAATCTGGGGATTTTTATTTCAAGAAATATGCAAAGTTTCTGGAAGCTTTGACAGCTGAACAGAATTTTATATTTTTAGAAATTGTAGCTGAAGATAGAAGTCTTTCCATAGATGACTCTTATCTTGAAGTGTTGAGAAGCTTTTTGAAGACTACATCAAAGAACTCTCTGATTGAAGATAGAAATATTTTGGAAGCTATTGAATATTCTGATCTTGTAGACAAGTACTCTAATTTTCAATCCAATCCCAATTTCAGTCCAAATGAGAAGTTGGAGAAATTGAAAAGTTTGCAGGATTTGGTTGAGGAATCAATTCCTGATGTTTCCAAGACATCTTAATTAAAAATTTGGGTGATTTAAGTGGTGAGTACTTATATCATTTCTTACCCTTTTTTTTATAATCAAAACTAATTTGAAGAATCTTGAATCTAAAACCTGACAAGATTTCCATGAAAATAAAAACTTGAAGATTGATTCAGATAGATTCAATTTCCACTTTTTGCACCCAAGTTATAGTTTATATAATCTGATTCCAATCAAGCACAAGAATTATACAGTTCACTTATATTTCAAGTTGACCAAATTAATTCTGCCTGAGAATTACTTCTGCTATTGTGTCTTTATTTGAATTGGGTTGGTTTCCATATCTTTTAAAAAAAATCAAATAATAAGAAAAGAAAAGGATTTACATTTTTTCTCTTTATCAGTGTTAGCCTTTTGAGTTGGTGCACACAATCTCTAAGAAATATAAAAAAGGGCCTTAATAAAAAAACCCGCATTTTCCGCTTTTTGACGCGCTTTTGCTGCGGCACAGCACACGCGCAATCTGTGTTTAAACCCGCTTTTTTAATGGGCCTTAATAAAAAAACGCGGTTTTTCCGCGTTTTGACGCGGTTTTGATGCGCCGCAGCACACGCGGTTTCCGCTTTTAGACGCGGTTTTTTAATTAATTTTTTATGGGTTATTTTTTGAGTTTTTTTGAATTTTTAAAGTTGTTTCCTACACTATAAAAGGCGTAGAATTTAATGGTAAAAACCATTTTTCATAAAAATGAATTTTGATTATTAATTATTTTTTTTCACTCATTTCTCAATTAATTGTTTGCATACATGTATGTACCTTATTTTTTATGCTTTTGTGAAATTTTAAAATTATTTCCTAGGTTTCAATGTGTGTAGAATTTAATGGTGCAATCCAATTTTTTTAAAACTCAACGGTTCATTTTTAATACTGAAATTAGACCCATTTTTTCACTTAATTTTTTACAGCTTAATTCTCATCATTTTTTGACATTTTAAATTTATTTCCCACACTTTAAGACATGTAGAAAATGATGGTAACAACCATTTTTCCCCAAAATGAAAACTATACCTTGAATGCCGCATTTGACACATTTTTTTTAATTAATTCATCACTTTTTCACTTAATTGTTTGCATACATGTGTGTACCTTATTTTCTATGCTTTTTTGAAATTTTAAAGTTGTTTCCTACATTTAAAAGTGTGTAAAATTTAATGGTAACATTCAATTCCCATAAAACTCAACGGTTCATTCTGGATACTGTAATTAGTCATATTTTTCAATTGATTTTTAAGAGCTTAATTTTCATTATTTTTTGACATTTTAAATTTGTTTCCTACACTTTCAAACATGTATAAAATTATGGCAACAATGAATTTTCATCAAAATGAAAACTATATCTTGAATAATGCCTTTGACGTGTTTCCTGAATTAATTCTTACACGCTCAATTATCCTTATTTTTTGGAATTTCAAGCTCATTTCCTACACTTTTAAAGGTTTCAGAATTGATGGCTGTATCCATTTTGCATTCAAATAAAATTTGTATATGGTACAAATTATGCAAGAAACAGGGTACGCTCATCTATTAAGATTGAAGCTTGTATTTTGAGTGAAATTGGACTTCACCATTCAATTCTAAACATTTTTAAATGTAGGAAATAAATTTAAAATAAAAAAAAATGCTTAAAATCAGGCCGGTAAAAATCAATCAAAAAAACATTAAAAAAGCCTGTCCACTGCAGTATTCAGTAACAAGCGCTGATTTTTATGTAAAATGGTTGTTACCATCATTTTTATCATGTATTAAAGTGTGGGAAATAAACTTAAAATGTCAAAAAATAGTGAGAAATAACATGTAAAGAATTAATTGAAAAAAGTGTCTAGTTTCAGTATTAAAAATGAACTGTTGAGTTTTAAGAAAATTGGATGTTACCATTAAATTCTACACACTTTTAAATGTAGGAAACAACTTTAAAATTTCAAAAAAGCATAGAAAATAAGGTACACACATGTATGCAAACAATTAAGTGAAAAAGTGATGAATTAATTAAAAAAAATGTGTCAAATGCGGCATTCAAGGTATAGTTTTCATTTTGGGGAAAAATGGTTGTTACCATCATTTTCTACATGTCTTAAAGTGTGGGAAATAAATTTAAAATGTCAAAAAATGATGAGAATTAAGCTGTAAAAAATTAAGTGAAAAAATGGGTCTAATTTCAGTATTAAAAATGAACCGTTGAGTTTTAAAAAAAATTGGATTGCACCATTAAATTCTACACACATTGAAACCTAGGAAATAATTTTAAAATTTCACAAAAGCATAAAAAATAAGGTACATACATGCATGCAAACAATTAATTGAAAAATAAGTGGAAAAAAAATTAATAATCAAAATTCATTTTTATGGAAAATGGACTTTACCATTAAATTCTACACCTTTCATAGTGTAGGAATAAATTTTAAAATTTCGAAAAAACTCGAAAAATAAGCCGTAAAAAATTAATTAAAAAACCGCGTCTAAAAGCGGAAACCGCGTGTGCTGCGGCGCATCAAAACCGCGTCAAAACGCGGAAAAACCGCGTTTTTTTATTAAGGCCCTTTTTAATTAATTTTTTTTGCCGTTAATTTTAATTTTTTTTAATTTTTTAAAATTGTTTCCTACACTAAAAAACGGGTAGAATTTAATGGTAAAGTCCATTTTGCCTAAAAATAACTTTTGATTCTTACTTTTTTTTCACTCATTTTTCAATTAATTGTTTGCATGCATGTATGTACTTTATTTTTTATGTTTTTTTGAGATTTTAAAATTATTTCCTAGGTTTTAAAACATGCAGAATTTAATGGCTCAATTCAAATTTTCTAAAACTCAACTGTTCACTTTGAATACTGAAATTAGACACTTTTTTCACTTAAATTTTTACAGCTTAATTTTCATTCTTTTTTGACTTTTTAAAATTATTTACACCACAGAGCTTTAAGATCTTAAACTTTTTCTCAAGTGTATCAGCAGTGGGTAACTCTGATTTTTTCAGAAAAGTATTGGCTTAGAATTTAGTGGAACATTTTTTATCACATAAACTGTATTGATGCTGTTCTGAACTACAGGACACTAAACAGTGTATTAGTGCAGTGTAGTGGGCACATTTTTGTGGACTGTTTTTAGTGCTAGTGCAGATCTGGTAGAATTCTGCTGGGCTATGATAAATGTTTGCTAGCACTACTGGAGGACTTCCTGTCCATATCTGAAGAACCTACAGAATCAGATTTCCCACTGAGGTCAGTTTTTGAAAGGAAATTAAATTTGAGGGGTGCAAATTATCTGGCCTTGTAGGGGCTACAGGAAAAAAGGAAGTTGTCCACTGTTAGTGTAGCTAGCACAAAACTTGATGCAAGTCCTGAATGCACAATTTGGAAGAGGAACTGAAGCAGCAGTGATCCCTCTTTAATTTGTAAAGGGACTTGCACCAAAGGTTCAGTTTGCAGCATGACATCAGAAAAAAGCTTTGGTGTGGAACACCTCATTTTGGACCTACACCCACAACCTCTAATAACCTTAACTGTCTAATTTTGAGATGGTATGATGGCCTGAACCATCCCATTATTTCCCTCTGCTCCATTTTTTAAATTTGATGATTGAATTATTGTATTCATTTTTTTGAAAATACAATAATCTTGAGTTTTTTTTGGATTACATAAGCTAAAACCAAGTCAAAACCCACATAAATTGAAAAAACAAGCCATTTTGCTTTGTTTTCTTTTGTGGCTACTTGATCAAGATTAAAAGGGTACAGAAATTGGAATAGAACAAAAGATGCATATATGAAGAAACAAAGGCTCTATAGGAAAGCACTCACCTGGTTCCTATTAGGAACCAGGTGAGCGCTTTCAGAGGTGCCTCACATAGACACAGATGAACAAAAATACAGTTTGGATTTCAACCAAACATGTAATTGTGATGATTTTGACATGGGGTTGTGTACATGCCAAAGGTGTGTCTTGTACATGTATTCATAAGTGACAAAACTGCACCAGTGACCCTCAATAAGCAAAAAATAAAAAAATGTAGGAATCTCAAAATTCCTAAATTTTTCACAGTTTTTTGATTGTCGCTGGTGCAGTCTCACCACTAGTATGTACAGGATGCACCTTTAGAATGTACACAATCCCATGTTAAAATTATATGAATTACATGTTTGGTTAAAAGCCAAACTGTGTGTTGGTTCATCTGCATACATGTTAGGCACCCCTGGAATTTCACACCTGGGTCTTAGTTCTATCTGTTGGGATAATTTCAACAAGGGTTTTTCTAAATCTTTTTCAAAGGGGTAATTGAAGTAAATGCAAAATGATGCCTGCTGTTGAACTTGACTTTGGGCCTAAGCCTCTCTGCAAGACTGTCCCCTGTAACACACTTGCAGAGAGGCTGCTTAAGCAGCTTGAGCTTGTCCAGAATTCATTTTATGTTCAATAATATAGATCTGAGTCTAGGTCAACCAAAACCTATGAAAACCATTGGCAGAAGTGGAATCAGAATTAAGTTGTTGGTCAGGACATTTTCTTGTGTGTTGGATTTAATAAAAGCCTTCACAGCAAGAATCAAAATCTCTAGCTCATTTTATACAAAGGAGTGAGGTGTGGAACAGCTAACAATATGCCTCAAATTTGCCCTTTTGCTTGGACTTGGAGGAAATACACTCAATTGAGGGTACCAAACCCCCCTTTCACTGAGGCCCTGCAGGCGGGGAGCCCCTCAAAGAGTTTTCGGGGGCGGGCTATTCAAGCTTCGGAGTTCGGGGAAATACCGTATTACTACATACATGCCAACTTGCGGCTTCCGGTCACCAAGCTTCAACCTTTACCTCATCATCCGATCTCATCGAAAATCAGCACTTCGAAATCGCTCGACGAGGGTCCTGTAAGCCAGCTCTGTTGTTGAAGGTGGGTCCCTGAAAACCAACGGAATCATGAAAGACAGCTAACCCTTGCTGGCCGCATTGGTGGTAGGACGACACATAAAAACCCGCCTAGCCCTTGCCTGACCACCTCACCACCCAACTAGCGATGGCAAATCCCTATAGGTGAGGGTACACGCAGTATCTGAATCGCATCACCCAAAGGGAAGCTATTTACTCACTATAAATGTGCTTCTAGTTCAGTGACAGTGTTCGATGCTGAAGAAAGCTCGAAAACGGTACCAGCCGACAATCTTGCATTTCAGGGTTAGCATTGAGCTTCGTCCATTCCTCCGAATTCTGATCGTCCCATAACACCAACCAAGAAGATCCCGCTGCTCTTAATAACAGATTTCTCTCAAAATGCCCCCTCTGACGCCGGTCGTCCTGGTCAGGGAACCGTCCGAGGAAACGTGTATGACCCAGACGCCGAACTGCAACAGAGATTGGCTGGATCACAGAGTTGGTTCAGTATTGATGCTTATAGTCCGTACTTTGATGTGGTATGTATCCCTTTTTTGAAGAGAGCTTATTTTTTTAAATGTGCAATTCAAAGGAAACTCTTCTAGTTGCTCTGACACAATTTGGACTGTCTTTGTTGTAAAAAAATAATAATCCAGGAAACCAAGACAGTGCTAGAACGTTGTTGGAGGACGATGTATCCTAAAGATGACTATGTAGAAGTTGTCTTGGCTGGTCAACCTGATTTGTATGGTGAGTATTATAATTGAATTCATCCACTTTTATGACTTGAACCATTAACATATTATAATCTCTCGATTCTATAGGCCCTTTCTGGCTCCCAACAACGTTGATGTAAGAAGTCATTCCTACTTTCTTGAAAAAAAAAAATAACAAATTTCGACCATCCGGCTATGATCGTCCATCCACAAAGGTTTTTAGCTGACATCGAATCTGATCTTTCCAATGCCAGTTTTATCCTTTTTTTCGCATCCTCACTTTCTGGTGCCTTAACATCTTATCTCCATTCTCAGTCATATGATTACGATTTCAGTAAACTTTCGATGGCCGTTGGCCTAGTATATGTCTATGCGCTTGCACTTCCAGCGTGTATTTGGGCGGCCATGAGGTATTGGGCCGGGGTGGAGGGACGCACGATCCCGGAAATCATCAACTTATATGGCTATGGATTGACGGTCTTTATCCCGGTTGCCTTGCTGTCCATCCCACCATTCCCGTTCCTACGGAGCATCATGGCTCTTGCCGCATTCGGACTCTCGCTCGGCTTCCTCGTTCGAAACCTCTACCCTGTCCTCGCCGCTGCCCCTGCCAAGACGGGTCGGATTTTGTTGATCGGAGTCTTTGGTCTCCATGCTATCTTCACTCTGATATTGTGGTTCGGCTATTTGAGTATCGGTGGGAACTTTGAAGAAGTTATCGTTGCCCCGGCACCCAGTGAAGACGTTGGAAAAGTCCCTAGTCCACCATAATCCCACCATCATCCCTGCAACTTCAAAATCTCATAGTATAATTCTCAACTGAAAAATGTCATTATAGATCCACGCTCTATCTTTTTTTCTTTCGGCAGGTAGCCTTCATTTCTGGTCTCGTTGTCTCTAATCGATGTTGTGATACGTATATTTTTTCATAAGACAGGGAAAAGTAAGGGTGAAAATTTGTACAGATTCACGCTTAGACAAACATTCTCTTTTGACCCAATTTTGTTCTGATAACTCAAATTGTATTGACTGAGCTTTTCCCCCGATCGAAACTGTCATAAGCATGCAAACTAATATCAACAAAAGGTTTTATGTAATAGGCAGGTCACCAGAGGATAACTTGAGTTGCGGGCACTCGCGCACGGCGCGGAGAAATCCTCCCGGCAATGGTGTGAAACGACTGCCGATACGGGTGAACGGTATAAACAGTCATCCCGGTCAAGCCAAGAGCGGCGGAGTTTCTTGAAACAGTTTCCAATACACATTTCTCTTCGAATTCTAGAAGGTTGAGCTCCCGATTCGAATTGGTCATCCAGCGAGCGTCCCGATCAGTCCTGAATCATTCCCCCATCCTTCCTCACACGTTTTGCCCCGGACGGAAGCGCACATAGGTCCACAGAAGTAATCCTCAAGACTCACAGGCATACATATTTGAGTGGTTGTTTCAGTTCTTAGTCTTTCATAGCAGACCACAACATGAACGAGATCAAGTATAATGTATCTAGACACTTGTATCCACGGCAGTTGCCAGTGTTGAGTAAAAATTGAAACTCCATTAATCCCATCTTACACTGTGGGAAATATCATTAGCAGCAGCCTGCCAAGTCTAGATTGGGAGGCGACCGGACGCGGTGGTAGGATTTAAATAGTTTGGTGCCTATACAGGAAGTAGGAGTATGGATGTTGACGCCGTCGTGCTTGGGCAACTCAAGGGCCTTGGGCCGTGGTACTCTGCTTGATGGGGCCCCCCACAACACCGTCCATAAATCACAGGTTGTTTCTCCCCCTGAGATACCTTCACCTCAACTTCTGTTCTAATATACATAGAGCCCAGGTGCCTCGTACTTCGTAATTTCTTGGCAGTTACTAATCTGAGGTGAGAGTTGCTTCCTCTGGGACCCAGCCTTCTCAAACCACGCTTGCGATTTCATTAAGCTCACATCTTCCTCAACATTCCTTCGCCAATTCCAACAAAAGTTGTCCTTGTTTTCTTGCACCCCACGCAACCGATCTTCTGGGTAATACTTGGCCTGGGTGAGTGGTATTTTGATAGTTGACACATCTCGAGGATTAGCCGAGCTATGTTAGTGATTCCGGCGGTTTTCTTTTTTTGTTTTCAAGAAACGAGACTAACGCAGCAGCTAGAGTGATCGAACGAGATGAAAGCGTCGCTCCCATGCACCCTCCTACTCTTGTTCACGGCCATGCTGGCATACGAAGCAAGCATTCCATGGCTACGCAACTCATCCAGCAGAAGTCGGGTGACCGATCTGGAATCGCTTTTGCCGAAGCAGTGTAAGGTGAGGCCTCTGGATCCCGATGGACCGGAAACGACTAGATCAATACATATCCGAAGAGACACTGGCCTTGAATTTCACCCTTTTCGACATAATTGGATGGTGCGAAACTATTTAGGATGTGATGTTACGATGGAAATCCGGTTTCCAAATCACGATGGCCGGCCCTTAAGCGTGGTGCGCACAGTCGGACGATATTCGGATTTGGAGCTTAATATACCCAAGGCGAAAGAACTGGAAGTAGATGTCCATTCGGTTGGAGAAATGTTTGATTGAGCAGATGTCCTCTCTTCAAAATCTATCTCATGAAAAACCCTTTCTCTAAAACAGCACATGTATATACTGCGGCTGACATCAAGCAAATTACAAAATTGATCTATTAATCAAATCACTTCACATGCACATTTGAGAACATTTCAGTGTCTGCCTCAATTTTCGCTTTGGATCCCATCTGTAAAGAACAGGGTAACTCAGTTTAGGAATTGTCACTTCTTTTAACCAATTTTGTTTGGAACACTGTCAAACTTTTGTTGTTATAAACGTAGATAACTTATCTTTTTTTTTGCTGTGAAAGAGAAAAATAACAAGATAATTCTCTTAAGGAGACACAACTTGGAGTTAAATACAAGCCTTCTCCTGGTGTATAATGCTGATAAATGATTTATGTGATGTGCATACATATCGAATGTAAATGTTGCCGTGGTGTAGTAACTAATGAGTGATGTTTGTATACCAGGTAACTTTACCATAACTTATACATAATAGATGTCATGGTACATTATAGATTGCGAGAAATGGGCTCGAAGCTTACCGGCTTGCATCCCTGCACCTCCGCTCGAGTCACTTCCAGCAATCGTTAAAGGCATTGATCGACTCCATTGGCTATGGTAAAGCCTCAATAGGAACTTCTGGACTACGGGTGCTACATATGTTCTAGCTTGTGGGCCGATTCATCATCCATCCAAAATCTCCAGCGCGCATACATACATGTGTGTAGTCAGACCGTGCCAGCGTCAAGCAGTGGTTTCTACAAGGCCTTCAGGTACCTGACGCCCCTTGAACGTCCTGCGGGCTTGTGGGATGTGTGGCTTCAGCGATCAGCCGAGGAACATCAATAAATCCCTCGATCGCATTTGTGTTGTAGGGGCTCTTGTCCAACTGTTCCTGCAACCCGACCGTTGGGTGCAAGTTGTGACAATGGTTGGCCATCACCTACGTTGGCTCTACCAGCACCGTGTTAATTTATAAAAGCAGGTACAACATCCTGCACATACATAAATTTACTTGCAGGGTTGAGGCAAGCTCGTTGACCCTCACAGTACTGAAAAGAGACTTAAAAGAGGGGTACTCTTCACTTCGTAAGGGGACAATTCCCCATCTTTTCCATAACGAATCACTCAAATCAATCTATCATAAAAACTAATCATCATGCCTGCAATTGTTGGCCTAGAAGTCTCCCTCCCTCTCAACCACAAAAACGTCTTAGATAATCGAATAGACATACTATTCAAAGTTTTCTTTACTAGAATGATCAGTAGGCCCACTTGACTCCCTTCCCTCCAGATCCATTCCATTACTAACCGGTTGTTCTACCCAGACATCCGACCCAATGGCCTTCTTCTTGATGCGGAGGCAAACGCGGCTATAGTAAAGAAAACTTTGAATATTATGTCTATTCGATTATCTAAGATGTTTTTGTGGTCGAGAGGGAGGGAGACTTCTGGGCCAACAATTGCAGGCATGATGATTAGTTTTTATGATAGATTGATTTGAGTGATTCGTTACGGAAAGGATGGGGAATTGTCCCCTTTGGAAGTGAAGAGTACCCCTCTTTTAAGTCTCTTTTCAGTACTGTGAGGGTCGATGAGCTTGCCTCAACCCTGCAAGTAAATTTATGTATGTGCAGGATGTTGTACCTGCTTTTATAAATTAACACGGTGCTGGTAGAGCCAACGTAGGTGATGGCCAACCATTGTCACAACTTGCACCCAACGGTCGAGTTGCAGGAACAGTTGGACAAGAGCCCCTTCTACACAAATGCGATCGAGGAATTTATTGATGTTCCTCGGCTGATCGCTGAAGCCACACATCCCACAAGCCCGCAGGACGTTCAAGGGGCGTCAGGTACCTGAAGGCCTTGTAGAAACCACTGCTTGACATTTTTTCCCCCAACATCATAGCGGTTTTGGGGGTGAATGTCCTCTCAACAAACTGGAAAGCATTGAGGACATCCTATGATGCCAATGTTCTCTGCAGGACACCCAATTCCTCTTAACGATTGGCCAATTGTTGAGAGGACATGAGGCTTCCAAAGCACGAACAACTGAACATTGCCTGTTGGAGTGTTTGTCCTCTCAACAATTGGGAAAACCGTTGATCATGAGAGTGATTGGGGAACGTTGCCCTTCACAGGGCATGTACAATAACACAGATGGTGAATGTCGGCTCAACAGCAACGGGATTGTAGAGCTTAAGAGCTTCTCCAACGTGGGAGGTACATCTACATCAGTTCCCAGAAAGCTTGCGCTCGCGAGCTCCTGGGATCTGATTTTTTTTTATTTTCTTTCGACTTTTTTTTGCGCCTCGTAACCTGTACACATGACTGTACAGGTTGCGAATCTGCTGCCGAGGCCGGGTGAGGCCTCCGGGCACCTGTCGGTTGCCTGGTGGGGGCTGGTTACAGCGGATAGGATGAGCGGTTCCGACTCAAAAAACTGAGAGGAATCCAATGGTCCAACTCCCATATCTTCAACTTGAAAAATGGGGGAGTTGGGCCATGATGCCTGGAATATTATGGCTGTACGAGGCCACGTACAGGACAGAAAAACAAAGAAAAATTGAGGCACAAAAAAAAAAATTGGGATCCCAGGAGCTCGCAACAGCAAGCTTTCTGGGAACTGCTGTATTGGGGTGGTTAAGCCCCATTTACCCAGTGGACCTGGACCGACACCGTTTCTGCCACAAAAACCCAAAACAAAAGTCAGCTTATCTGACCGTTTCAGGAACTGTAGCTGAGTACCAACTGCTGTACCGGAAGTACTGCAGTCGGTACTTGTTCTCCGTTCTTCCCATCAGCTAAACAGGGTCTCCGCCAACCCACCAAGCCTCATGAGGGCCCCATCAAGGTTACCAACACCGGGCCTGGCCTGTCGGAATCGTCTTTTTTGTCTTGACCCACAAGAGGAATCTAAATTTGGTTATTTTCAGCACAAATAAAACACGCGCATAACACAGATGTTGGACTCGATTCAGATGCAGAAGCGATGATCTGGGTTGGCAAGCCGGTTTATCGGACGGTGATCAAGCGACTATTATGCAAGAAGCATTTCTCCGCAACACACAATCTGAACTGGGCTAAGATGAGGATAAAGAGAGCTGGTCTAAGATGAGGATGAGGAGAGCTGAGGAGTCAATTGAATGGAAACCCCAGGACTACTTTCCTTTGGCAATCTCACGTCCCTTAATCAATAACACTGTCTCCTCTCTTTCCCACCCTTTTTTGTCAAGCACACTTTCTTCTCTCTCTCAATCTCACTCTTTTTGGTGGCTGTCCAGTTATGTACCTACAACTACTACAACCACTACCATCACCACAAACAAAGATACCCAAAAACTTACAACTTATTTATTCAAGTCATCATCATCTTGGAAACTTTTTTCCTTTCTTTGATGCAAATCCCTCTCTGTTTAAACTCTTGTTTAATTTTTTTGTTTGTTTATCAATTTGACTGTTACAATCTTCCTTGGGAGGCATTCATAACAACCAGAATGATCAAAGCCACCAAAGGAAACACAAAAAAATCAAGGCCAAAACCAGAGGAGAATCAGAGGAAGAAGAAAACAAACTGAAGATGCAGATGGATGTGGAGGTCATTGATCTTTCTTTGATTTTATCCTGACTTTTTTATTGACTTATTTTTACATTGTTGGTTACTCTCACTCTTTTTTTTGGTCTTTGTCCTCCTCTCTTTCATTCTTTTATGTTTCCAGTTTGTAGTTTACAGATTTGGTTCTTTCAGTTACTTCTTTTGGCTTTTATTTTCTCAGTGTCTTTGTCTGATTAAATTTCTTAATGTTCTTCCTCAACATGTATAGTGCAGTCCAGCCAACTAAATACATACTCAAATTTTCTTACAGAAACACCCCCACAACACCCCCTTCCCTTGCCTTCTTTTTTTCTTTCTTTGTTCCTCTCTCACTCATTTGGTTTCCTTTTGTTTGATTCTTTCCAAAGGAATATCTCTTATGAGATATGAAATGAAGCCACATGGATGTTGCAATACAACACAATACAATCATGGATATGTAGTTGCACATTGTTATACATCTCCCGGATTGCAAAATAAATACATACTTCTGCTTTGATTATCCCAGCTTCTTCTTGACCATCAAGTCCTTCTCATATTGAATCAGTTTTTGTTTGGTCCACATACAATAACATAAACTAAGTGGCTTTTCATGGACCTGGAAATCCACTTGAATAGAAATCTTATTGACAATAATAATTTTAAATTCAGTTTTGAAGGGCTGAAGACAAAATTCCTTGGTTTTGGATTGGTTGTTGAATTTATAAGTTAGACCCCGTTTGGCAGCGTCATACATTTAGGCGTAATATTGCCTGATTAATTCAATAAAAAATAAACCAACACAAAATATGTTTCAAAATTGTTACTCAGGCAAGTTCAATTACTGGTTTCATCAATGCTGAGAAAAAACTTGATATCTTAGGCCATCTTGAGCCCCATAGTATTGATATCACACTTTATATGGGTAAAAAGTGTAATATTGGTATTATGCTGCTGAAGATAAAGGCAATATTACACTTGAATTTATGACACTGCCACACAGGGCCTAACTTATGAATAGATTTATTTCAAAACAACCAAAGCCAGACTGAGAGAACAAAAGAATCAGTAAAGATGAAAAGCAGTAGAGAAATAAGAGAAATCAGAAAACAAAGAAGGCCAGAGTGAGTTAGATGAATTAGAGGCATACCACTAATCAGATGGAATGATTATAAGTTAAGGAATTTAGGTAAAAGATGTGTGAAGAAGCTGGAGAGTCAAAGTATGCTATGAGAAAGAAAAAAAAATTTTGGCCGGAAGAAAAGGAAGGTTCAGTGAAATCAGATCAAACACAGAAAACTCAGAGAAGGAAAGAAGAGAATAAGATAAGGATGAAAGATCAACAAACAGAGAGCAATATAGGACGCTAGGTGTGATAGGTTTTTAAAGGACCTCAAACAAGATTTTGAAGCTGAACAGAATCTACAGGGAAGGAAAAAGAAAAAGAAGAAAAGAAGATGAGGATGAGTTGATTGACAAGTCAGATGATTCAGAGCCAGTGACTGTAAGACTTACGTCTGAACTCTTCACTATCAATGACTTAGTGGCTTCTAGATCAGCCAATGGGCTGGGAGGGAACATTTCTAGAACCTGAGTATCTTTATTTCAAATGAGCTACCTTGTTAGGATAGAAGTTGATGGTTCTCTCAGTACAATCTTAATAGAAAATAAGAAATGATAACAGAAGAAAAGAGAAGAAGAGTGAAAGAGAAGAAAACAATAGGTATGTACTCACCTAGCTTGGTAGGATAGAAGTTGATGGTTCTCTACCAAGCTAGGAAGAGGGGATCTGAAAGGTTTTTTATTAGATGATGATTATGTAAGCTAGATGTGATTGTCTTTGTGAAACCCGTGAGTAGCGAGGTTTCACAGTGAATTTACAGTAGTTTGGATATTGTAGGTGTAGGGGCGGCAAGAGTTTTTCCAGAAGGTGCCGAGCTGGAGATTTGAAGTTAAGAGAGAACCAATTGTTTTTGATGATTGTTGGTATTCAAGTTGCAACCATCTAGGAGAAAACATTTGTTGAGCTAACCCTAACCGGTTGTATTGGCTATAGTATTGCAAAAATTCAATAATTGCTTTAAGTAATGATAACATGATCAATAAAAACAAAAGAGAAACAAAAGAGAAAGAAGATAGAGGCTAAACAGAATAAATGACTTACCTGGGTCAGGACATGAAGAGATAGTGATGAAACTGAGATTTTTGACAAGAGAGGGTGAAGAGACCTGGGGAAAGAAATCCTCGAGGAAAAAGCTCAGAGGAAAAACAAAATGATCTAAGAGCCCAAAAAAAGGGCTAAATGCTGCTAGCTTGCGTGGAGGAAAAGCTCACACGCTACAAGGAGTTGTATCCTGTAGAGACTCCATGGATCAGTGCGCAAAAGAACAGATGCTTTTATTTTTTAACTCAGGAAGCATGATTATTTAACTACATACAAGATATGGCTGAGTTGTCGGACAGAAGAGGAGAATGCATATTCATCTGGTAATGAGGAAGACAGGAGTGAAAATGACAAGAAAAGGAGTGACAGATGAGAAAGGAGTGACAGAGATGTGACAAGGAGAGAAGACCAGGACACGACTACTTCAGAATTCCAACAGATAGTGGAAGGATGAGGAAAGAGAATCCTTCCACGTACTCAGTTCTGGCCCAGGTGTGCTACAAGATCTGTGATATGTAAGTGACAGGTATTTAGCACACAAAATGAAAAAGAGAAAGTATAATGAAATGGACTTCTCAACAGTTTGAAGTGCTGGCATGCTCATCAAGTTGGACAAATGTACTTGGACTCCATATGTAGGAGTCACGAGTGAGTCATGTGCCCTGCCTGGGGTCAAATTTTGATAAGGTTCAAATGGTGACCACAGGGTGATTTGACCCAGGGATTTATTGGAGTACCCCTGGTTTCTAGTTGTGAATTGATAAATAAATTATTCAACCTATGAGAAGTCATGAAATGTTAAAGATGAATCAGCCATATAAATAGGGTTCAGAAATGGAAAGAAAGGGAAAAATAAGAATTATTCTTGTCAATACCATCATAAGTGGGGCAAACCATCTTTTGGACCTCACTTGGATTTCTGTGATGCTTGGTCACCATGTCTCATTGTATTGTGAATGTCTCCTCAGGGAGGACACTCCTCCGTGATCTTCATATTCATTTATGTGAATTGTGTGATTGGCCTTTCAATCACTCAATGACTTCAATCATGATCACTCTCACAAACATCATTGAATGAAGGGTGTTGACATTGGGGAGAGGAATATGTTCAATCTTGATCAACCAACTCGGACGCTTAGCTCATCAACTCATGAACACCTTGAACCACCAGTTCTTTCATCTATTGGAAACAAAGACAACAGTGATTACTCCCACTAGCAGCCTGATGACACCAACAAAAATAACTCCTACCACCAGCAGCTCAATTACCAAGTGGACAACTTTGAATCTAATTTATACAATGTCTTGGACAAACACAACTCTCAGCTAGAAGAAAATTTAGATAGCTCAGTGGGGTTTGTTGCTGACAATGGTCCCAATGATGGTAGCAGTATTGACAATGGTGGTTTTAATGATGATGGATTTGACAATGGTGGATTTGACGATGGGGGATTTGACGATGGTGGTTTTGACAATGGCGGCTTTGACGATAACAGATTTGACGATAACGGATTTAGGATGGCGGTTTTGATGGTGGTGGTTATTATTAGCCTCCCTCGGAAAATATAATCAATCCATTTATCCAATTTTCAACTTTTGATTTATTTATTATTATCTTCAATTTACTCAACCTTTACAACATTTGATTATTTTTTATTTTTTTTATTTCAGATCTCCTCAACTTTCCCATATACTTTTCTCAAGATTTTTTTTCAGCCTGATTGAATTTCTTTGTCACTTATTTCTTCAAGCTTTTCCACTTTCTTTTGTCAGCTTGTATGTAGTTAGCACCTCCCCGGCAGGTGTCTTGAAGCCTTAACCAAGGGGGTGGGTGTTGTGACCTAGGTCACATAGTGTGACTCGGCTGCGGCTCAGCCAGCCGGAGGAGACTACATCTGTCTCCTCCGGGCCACACTTGCTGTAATCCATACTGATTACCGACTCCACGTTCCTACAGTCCCCTGCGGTGATCGAACGGTCTGCAGCTCGAGGTCACCACTGATTCCTTCTCTGTCTCAACACCTCACAATTATGCTTCGCTTCCCGACCTCTATTCCTCTTCGACCAGCCGAGTTCAATGAATTTAAAGAGGCCATTCTTTCCCAAAAGAACTCACAAGACCGGGAACGACCCCCATCTCAATCGACATCGGCCGCCCAACCCAACTCAGTCGACCCAGCTGTCGAACGTGAACGTAAGGAACTCCGTGAGCGCGCTCAAAAATCCAAGGCCGAACGTATCGGTCTGTGATTCACATCTATCATCCATTCGGTCTAATCTGGCGATGATAAAGTCAACCTGGGCGGTTTGGAATCTAGAGAAAACACTCAACTGGTAAGACATAGCCAATTTAACCTCAATTGAAACAGAAGCGACTGATTTTTTGCTGCCTGCGTATGCATTTGGCACTATTCCTTTCGGTAGCACTGTACGTGTACTTATATCGGCGAAATAGGGAATTCAGACGATCCGGGGGAGACCGTCATTATGAGATAAAATATTTATAATTCACCCTTGTAGTTTTGTTCAGCGCTGAAATTGTGAAGACATCAGGAAACTCTATGTCAATCAACTGCGTCGCGTCATCAAGTCCAGCCTCTCGGGGAAGATTCTTGTTGACAGCCACCCTGATTTAAGTTGAATCGTAACAATTCTCTCAGTGTAGTAATGGATTGATTGCAAATATAATAACGGTGTCAAATTCCATAGTTGAACTAAACAATAGGATAGTTTCAGGGAAGCATGAATCCATTTAAACGATTAGATTGGTGACCAAGAAACATAGAAATACAAAAAAATGTGATCTGTGAGCCTGATCCGTGTCTCCACATTCGATGTCTCCCTTGAATCGTGCTTTAATACACCTTGATGCGCGATTTTGGACTTGCTGTTTTCTCCTATTGATTCTTCTTAATTTTTTTGCTTTTTGTATTTCACCCCTTTTCTTCTATCCAGTTAAATCTTCAGCGGTCCAACCCTCTCCCTCTATGAATTCATGTCATAGAACCGAACCAAACCGGGAGTTAAAAAAACTTCACCCAGCTCATCACAGAAGCATACACTTCATCCGTAATCAAAGGGCCAAAAGGAATCAGATAATGTATCAGTCCCCACTCCTTGAATGGAACAACTCCCCTGCCCAAGGAACGTTGTATCCTGTAAATTTGAAAGTTCAGACAAGAAAGGCGTCAAAATTCCGTTATCTTTCCATGATCAAGATTTATGTGCCACAACCCAAACGAAAGAATAGGAAGCCCCTTTCAGAACTTACCAAGCATCAACCATCGGTTTTCCATTGAGGATCATGTAAATAAAAGTCCAAGACCATCCCAAGGGTCCAGAAACCTAAGTGGAATCAAAAAAGGAGATGGTTCAATAACTTCATAAACACGATTGATGAAAAACTTAAAGATACAAAGGTATTTTCCTCATGTTTTGTAGTAAGTTGATTAATTTTTGATAGAATAGTGAACATGTACTGACCTTGTGACCGGTGACTTGTTTGAAAACAGCCTCTAGAGCAATCCCGATGCCCTGACTAAGGAACATTCTAAAGGAAGAAAAAGTAGGATCGATTCTCGACACCGACACCAGGCCTAAGGATCAGAAGAGAAAACAGTGATAATGATGGAAAACTCTCAGTTCTCCAACAGCTTTCGGGAGGAATCCTGAATGTCTTTTTGATTTCTTACAAAACTCATGCATAGCAGCACTCAATCCCATCGCACCCATTACCGCTGCCAATTTTCCAACAGTTGGTCCATATCTATGGAAGATTTTATACATGGGTTGGGCCCCACAAAATAAGAAATGAAGCCTGAACACCGCTTGCCAACCTGAATATATGACGGGCATGAAGAAATTATTTTAATTCTCCATTTGTTCACGCACGTAAAAGGCTTGATCATCTGAATGATTTTTCGCGTCAAGTTTCATAAACTTACCTTTACCCCAAAACTCAGTTAAACTTGTTCTCAGCCAAGGATTATTAAACAAGGGAGGATAATTCGATGGGTTCACTGGCTCTGGTCTGAATGTGCTATTTTCGGGTAGAATCGATCGCAAAAGTGAAATGATTCCAATTTCAACTAGGTTGAATAATCCCCCTGCAAGTGCGAATCCGCTATAGGCCCCTCCCTAGAGATGGAAAGTTAGAAGATCGTCAAAATGATGGTCTGTTCAGTTTGAGTTAGTATTAGGCAAACCGAAATGTTACTTACGCCCAAAGTAATTGTCAGAAAGAAAGGCTTTTTTCCCAATGAAAGAAAGGAAAACAAATGTTGGCTCAGTGTTTTTTACTCTCAATGGGAAAAAGAAAATAAAAGAACTGATAAAACTGACCGTGACTAGTTTGATGATTCTCAATGGCGGTAAGCCCATTCTTTCGAATAAGAAATGGTTCATGTCCGCTTTCGAATTGATGACCACCTCAACACCAAAAGCGCAAACAAATTGAAACCAGAAATGCATCATCACCGTCCCCAAGATTAACTTGATCATAAATTTCTTCAAGTTCAAATTTCGTTCGATCGGCACAACGCTTTCTGGAGGAGACCAAGTGCAAATTAACCCTCGTGGACTGTTTCAGGTAAAACCATACAAGGCAAGTAACAAATGTGTCAGTTTTTTTTATTTTGCTACCTTTTTCAGCCCTCAAGGTCACATAACCTTTGGTAATACAAAAGCTAAGCAGAGTACATGGGCGATACTTACTTCATAATTAATGCCGATATCCATCTGACCATTTCACCAATCGACGGCATTTTTTCTACACTTGCCTTCGTTGAAGTGGTTTGTACAGGAAGTGTTTGAGCAGCCGGGGAAGGTTCCTTCTGTTTTTCCCCTGTGGTCGTGTTGACGAACTGTGAACGTGTTTTCGATTTAGTTTTACGATTCCTTAAATGATTGGTCGAGTGATTGGCATCTGATTTGTTATCCTGGTCCACTTGTGGAGCTTGTTGTTCTCCTTCGTGTGGTCCATCCCGTCCTTCAGGTTGATCTTTAGACTGCTGATTGAATAGCTCGACTTCAGATTTGAAAACTGGACCTTGATGCAACCCATAAATGATGCTTAAACAAATAAAATGGAACGTGGGCATGGTGACAAAACCAAAGTTAAAGTGTATATATTCATCTGTTGGTAAAAAGGTTCTTCTGGGTACTGTTGCAAGTGCCAAATAGACGCAGAGCGGTATCACTAGTAATCGGTACCACCTGGTTGAACTTGGATAGTTAATTTGGAGATATGGGTGTAAACATATAGCTTGAAGCAATTGTAACGGAACGCCCATCCATGCTAGCCACGGCGATTGAGGACAAGGAAGAAATTCTAGGATCGACATCTTTTCTTCTTGATTTTCCGAAGTGACTGAGGCTGATGGGGGGATCTTCTCTCAGGTAATATAAATGCAGAAAGTCTAATGGATCCAAGAAGGTGTTGTTCAGTGGTTGATCAAGTTCAGCAATCTTGATGATGCGTAAAGGAAGGATAACAGACCTGACCTCTAAACCGCAAAGAATAAGGAGAAATATGATCAGTTATAGAACCTCTTTCTATCACCGGTAAACTAGTAGGGAGATAAGGAAGATTGATTCCACTTGGAGGCCAAAAATATATAAAGAGTATTTTTGGTTTCAAGGAAATCCGAAATACCCAATGGTGCATGGAAACTGGATAAGTTTGTGTTATCGTTTCTCCAGATTCCCAATTTGTGATCCAGGTCAACATCTGGCATCAGATAGATCCGTTACATAACATGAAGTTTTGCGGATTAAGATCCTCTAAACTCCTTTATTTTAAATTATTCTTCATGTTTATTGCCTTTTTATTTTTGGCTGAAGCTGACTGGTATTCAAGGGGACCGGCTTTGGTTTTGGACCCCTATTTGATCAGTTTAATTCGTCCCTCCTTGAATAATCTTGGGCTATCTTGATGAGGAGGAAAAAAAAAAGTGAAAGTACAGGATCAACTTTTTTGTCTGGGTCCTGTCGACACTTGAAAACCTTAAAAGCGGATCTGGTGGGTAATCAAGTCTTTCCTTGATGAGCATCATCGTCTACCTTCTTCTTTTACTCCGACGGTGGTTTCGTAACCGATCTAAACTTTGCATTTGGACATCAATCAAAGGAGACGAAGAGGTAATAAGAGATGAACACCGGTCTGGAATCCGCAAAAGTGGAAGGTTGCCCTGAGTCTTAGGTATGATGGGACTCGTCCATGGAAAAAGAGGAAGAACCTGCTCGTTCTAAGCAACGATGTGGAGAGACAAGCGGAAGGAAAACCTAGTTTTGACAAGAACAACTCTTCAATATGTTCACTATCAGCGTTGGTTGATGAGCCGGCAGGTCGCCCGCGGCTACCGGTGAAATGTGACCGAGGCAGGGCGATGCTTGGAACTCAGGAGTCGTGAAGATCATTCTTACGTTGGTAATTTGATCAGATCAGGTCCATGACCATCAGAAGTACCTATATCAGGCTTGTGGATAGGCAATCCACATGGGAAGATATACAGAATGTTGTACCCTTAATCATCTGCAAGATGATTTAAATCGGGAACTTCGCAAAGGTTTGTTCCAGCATTCCTCTCAGCCCCTATGGTTTAAAAATATTGCAGTTGATCAGGTTGAATCTTTTGAAATCCACATCGGTGGGAAAAGAAACCTATCAGATGAAGGTCCGCCCTGGTCCAGTGTGGCAGGGTACAACAGTCAAAACCAACTATTTAAGTTGTGATTAGAATATCATGTATGTATAAAGGACACCCTGGAGCACCCCAATGGCGTAATCAATAGCATTTTAATTCAAGATTGCCTGGTGGTTCTTATGATGAAAAGTGACCTCAAAGATTTGGTCATTCCGACCAGATGTTTCCCCATTCAAATCATCCACACGGAGCTGAAGTGTTTTTCCAAAAAAATAAATACTAAAAATAGAGAAAGAGAGGCAAGTGGAAAGAGTACAAAATCCCACACATCCGATGGAATGGTTCGAACCTTTTTCATGAAGAGGCGGGCAGATCTTGGATATCAAGCTGCTGCTCCATCAAGTCGGGCAAACTGAGCATAGGAACTCAGATAGAACTTTTTTTTAACAATGACAGCACCGATGAAAAATGAGTATGCGAACAATTTTACAGATTTATGGGAACATACAAATCACTCCTGTGGATGTTCATGTCTGTGTCGGTTTGGGATCGAGAGCTTGCAATCTTCGTAACAGATTCTTAGCATCTTCTTTTTCATCTACATTCATCCGACACAGAGTCATTAAGTATTCCTTGGCGCTCGAAAAATCTGGACTGGATGTACTACTGTTAATCTTCTATAAAACACATTAAAATCCCAATAACACATCATGATCAGTTAAGGCTAGTGGTCAAAAGAAGTGGTAGCTCAAGTAAGACTTTGTCAGGCTTACAATTTCGTACTTGGCTAGGTAGAGCAAGCTTTTGGCAAGTGAAACCGTCGGTCCACCTTCTAACTCCAAACTTTCGTCGATGAATTTTTTATGATATTTGGCTGCTTCAGCCACGATACCGTCCGCATCATACAACTCGGCCAGTTTGAGTAGGACCGCGAAATCCTCTTGGCCACCGAGCCCGACATGGGGCTGGGCATTCATCAATGCACGCTTAGTCGTCATTCGAGCTTCCCTTCTGCGTCCCAATTTCTCATAAACTTGCGCAAGCGCTAACCACATTCGCGTATCATATGGCTTGAGAGCGGTTGCTTGCTGGTAGTAATACAGCGAGTAACTGAGCATATCCAATACCTCGTACGTTTGCCCAAGTCCGTACCATGCGCGATAGTCTTTGGAATTCGCATCTACAGTTCAATGGGTGTCAAAACTTAGCACATGGAACAGTAACATAAACTGATAAATAGATGAACATGAACAGACCAATGGCTCGACGATACGATTCAATAGCAGCGTACGTGTTCTTCATTTCCACATATTCGTGGCCCATCAAGGTCCAGGCACTTAAATAGCCAGGATCGAGGCGTAAAGCGCGCTTGAATTCGATGATTGCCTTTTCATGTTCACCACTCAAGCTCCAATAATTTCCCAGCAAGCAGCATACCTCTGGTCTCATCCGATCACCTCCTGCGCTTTCGACTCCGCCAGCATAATGTTGTGCTAAACTGGTCAGCTTGGCCCGCTTGTCCATCACATACAAGATATTTGAATAGGTGTCCACATCTTCGACTCGGTAGGTGTCCGCTTCATAGATGCTGTCAAAAATCGTCTCCGCCGTGTCAAAATCTCGAACGTGATAAGCAATTAAAGCTTGCTGGCTTTTGAGGAATAAAGAGCTAGGAAACAGTTCTCTAAGCTCTTCAACTACTTTCTGTTCAGTTTTTCGAAATTGAAAAGACATGCATGTTAGCTCACTTGACGTATTCAAACTGAATGGGATCAATCGTGACTTACCGTCAACGTATCACCGTTACCGGTAGTATGGGTTTCTAAGGTAGCGTGCACAAAGAAAAATCGACTCATAAAACCATCGCGAGGGAGTTTGGGAATTACTGTTTCGAGCTGTGACAAGAGATATATTTGTGGGAAATTTCCGTGACTTTTGTAAGTGAAACGACGGGTAATGTCCAGGGTAGTCAACAAATGGCGTACCTCATCAGCGCCTTCGATGAGTTTTTGCAGTAACTTCCACGCGCTCCAATTGTATTGGTGCAAATTGATCGAATGAACTAAGGCGTCGATAGCTTCCAATCGATAGCCACCACGGGAGAGTAAAATTGATTTTCTTCGAAAGCGAAGTGGCAAAAGACATTCCAAGCCTTCGGATTCAACAAAAATGTTCTGGCTGTATGTCTTAAAAGAATGACCGAGCTTACAAGTATAAATCAAATGGGTCAACAGATGGCTGTAGATCCCTAAGTAAATCGTGATGCTGGGTCGTGAATTTCCGCTGGTGATCTCGGCTGGCTGTATTAAAATAAGAACAGCAGAAAAGGAATTAATCACTGAATTAAGGCATGACACTGTTCAGTGTGAAAATTGTCTTACCGAGTGGGGGTCCTGAAATATCGTTAATCCGTTTTTCAATCCCCAAAAAACGCGCATAGAGTCCCAAGAATCGACCTGGACCGCGTTTGATGGGCTTCAGGGCGATCGCGGCGCGATCATATTCCTTCACGTCGAAGTAGGCTTTGCCAACTAAGTAAGTATCCTCATCGGAGATTCGATAGTCAAAGCGACTTTCAACGTGTTCAGATTGCTTGGACTTTGATTTCGATCCCGTTGGTATGGATGGGCCCGGATCCAAGGATGTTCCTTCTGCCATGGGGGAGTCTTCTACTTTACGTTCCTCGATCACCAACCAAACAGACCACAACTAAGCATTAGCTTGGTGGGAAGAAAAGACCGAGAGGTGCGTTCGGCTGGTGATGAAATAAGAAGCAACGATGAGGCTCACAATCTTGATTGCCCATTCCAACATCTGTGCCAGTCGATGGCCGAACAGAAACAAGCAACTCGGCAGCCCATTTGGAAGCAGCCAACAAGCCGCGAGAGGAGAGAGCCGGGATGGCCTCCCGTAAGGATGATCGAGCTTGATGGGGTGTTCTTGAGATGGTAGCGCTGAGGAAGAATTGGTCGTTCATCTTAACGAGGAGGTCGGTCGTCTTGAAGCAAACGGGGCGCGTGTTGATAATAGCCTGTGCTACTGTGGTAGTCCTCAAAACGAAAGCACCGGAGAAGGGGCTCCATTTCCGCAGCCGACGCCTCCCAACTGAGTCGACTCCCAACTGCCCGTACTGGGTTTGGGGTCTTCACACAAACTCAGTGCCAACCAAGTGGCAGAAGATTCTTGCCTTTTATCTTCCTGGATCTTATCAGACAGATTTCTTCGACTAATTCTTTACTCAGCTTACAGGAGTAGTAAAAAAAAACTTGTTCACTCTCCTGGTTGGTATGCCCCACCGGTTGCGACTGATGTTACGAATCGTCATCAACGTACTTTTGAACAGAATAGCAGTCGAGTCGGATGCACACATAATTCTGCGCTATGCGGTGGTCACATGCCGAGGTTGGTAGTTTAGGTTTCCCAAGACGATTGTATTGAGTCTCCTTGGAAAGGGTCTGAGGTGCCAAGTAGCCGAAATGAAAGAATCGATCTCATTGTAACAGGTACATATATATCAAAGCGACGTCGAGAATGGCAACAAATACCAATTGCAGACGTGGGTGTTGTAGTCTGTCTTGTGACCTCATATTAACAACACGCTCTATAGATATAAAGTGCACCGGAGCAATCGTGCAAAACCTTACCCTTGAAATTAATCACTGTGAGGATGGCAGTCGATTAATCTCTATGGTGAACTTAATGCAGTTTTTCCAATGACAGTGCTGTAGTTCGAATTCCAAAGTAATCGAAGCAAGGTCAGTACAATGAAATCATGTCATGAAGTGTTCAAGTAGCAAACCTTACTGGTGTGACTAGGACTAGTAGTCATAATCTTTTGATAGATAAAAGGATGGTCCGGTTGGGGAGGAAGCAGCTTCCTCTCTACCACAAAATCAACCCCATGATTTATTTAAAATTAACAACAGATTTCAATCTTCTAAAGTGGATTTGAAAAAACGGCTTCTAATAGTAAAAATCATCTGCACAACTCGGTTTAATTAAAGTCGATTTTCAACTGAAACTAACAGAGAATCAGAAAGATTACAAGGAGCATCATTTTTCCAGTATTAGACATAACAAAGACGTATCTGATTATCAATCTAGTAGTGAAATGTTCTTTTACCCCTTGAGCATCATGTTGCTGGCAACATTAGTAATTATTGGACTTCCTGTCGCAATTTCATACCCAACCAATGGCCCACCTCCAGACACTGAAGAAGTCCCAAACCATCACACCAGAAGGCTCCCTAGATAGAGCTGTGGTGACCCTCCACCTCCATGTGCCAATGGTAAGACTATTTTGTTTGAAATATATATAAATAATGATATTTATGTTCAGACGCTGACATATTTTTAATTGCTTAATACCAAATTCAGGAAGTTATGGTCCATCATTTTTTCAATCATAATTTAACTTAGTTTAGCAGTGCCAAGCTTATTTGTGATCAGGGTCCCCTAATTGTGCTACACAGCTCTTCTACTTAGTCTTACTCACCCATAATTTCACTGCTCTCCTTGCTCATAACCAACTTGAAGATCAATACCCTGCCTTGCCCAGATGACTGTGACATATCTTTTTGTCAGGTTATTACAAATTTACCTCAATAAGTTGGAGAGTGTTACACTGCTATGCCAAGCTGAATATGACATGTATCTTTTCATCAGATCACATGATCATACTGATAAAGATACCTTTTGAGTAAGTGGTACATTTTTTACAGCCTTGTTTCATGTAGCCTAGGAGGGCCCTTCTTTGGCAAGTGGGACATCTTGAGCCTGGGTACCAAGGAGTTTTGCTTTCTGGCAAGTGATAGACCTAAATTTGCCTGGGCACCTTGAAGAAATCTCCTTGGCAAAAGAAAACACAGCTAAAAATATGAAACTGACCCAAGTCCCCTCCTGGATGCTTTGAGCCCCTTTTCTGAAGGAGGAAACATGGAATTAATCAGGTTTTTCAAAATTGGCAGGGAAAAACTCTTTTTTGGCATGAATTTTTTATGATGCATGGTAGCCCAAAGAGAAGAATAGACAATGAAAAATTCCTTTTCTTTGACTCCATCCTACCAAGTTTTGTGAAACTCTTACCTGGGCTCATTCCTCCAGCAATGGGTATTGGGATATCTCCATCTTTGGAAGATGCATAGCAGTCTGGGGCTTCAAAATGTCTGTCCTTGAGTATGAAAAAAGTTACAGTTGCTGAAGAAATCTCAAATTTTTGAGTTGTAAATAGGGGTTATCAAATACAAGAAATCCACCATCACAAACCGGTTACTTTTACAAAAATAAAACTTTGCATAAATGGCTGTCCAAGGGGGTTAGGTAAAGAACTAAAATGTTCAAAAAATGGTGGATTTTGCCAAACCAGTCAATTCAAAAGTGGTGGATTTGGTTATATTTGATACCCCCTAATTTAAGTTTTCTGGTATGAGCTCTTATTAGCCTTCAGAAGGCTAAAAAATACCATAGGACGCTGAATTGATACTGAAGATAGATACTAAATGTGAGATAAGGAGTATGGATCAGTATTAGCTCATGAATAGCAATGCTGAAACAAATTCAACTTTATTTCTTATTGCATTAGGGTGTATCAAATGTAACCAAATCCACCATTATTTAGTTGAATGGTTTGAAAAAATACCTCTTGTTTAAATATTTTGGTTATTCATTTAACCCCTTTTGGGGCCCATTGATGCCAAAAAACAGTTCTAGGAAAAGTGACTGGTTTCTCATGGTGGATTTTGGCCTATATTTTATACCCCATATTGAAATACATGTATTACTATTAAGAAAGTCCATGTCTGAACTTTGAGGCAAGTTCCATGGCATTTATCATCAAAAATTTACAATTAGGGGGTATCAAATGTAAAAATTCCCCCATTAGAAACCAGTCACATTTCAAAAAACAACATTTTTGCATCAATAGGCCCTCAAAGGAGTTGTATGAAGAACTTTGTTGAGTTTTTCAATTCTTCTCTGCGCACAATGAGAAACTGCGGAGCTGGCGTACCAACCGGTTAGGGTTTGGGACCCAATCCCTGTGTTCAGAATATTGAGATACAGACTCCAATCCTTCCTCAACCGACCGAGAAATAGCCCGGTTCAACTTCCTCAAGACCATCCTGTGACCAATAATCATCGATCATCAACAAAACTCCTCAAGATCATCACAGGAATAATTATTCTAGTAATGTAATTGCCGGACAATGTTCTTCCCTTGATCCAACCTTAATTTTGACTTCATTTTCTTTTTTTCTTGTTTCTAGATTGAGCTTTCTCCCTTCCTTTATCTTCCCTTTCTCATTCTCCGTATTGAATTCGAATACGTCTGCCTTATCGTTTGTTCCTTCTTCTTCATCTCATTCTTTTCTTTTTCTTTCTTCTTTGTGTTTGTTGTCGAAAGAACTAATTTATTTTTTTCTTATTCTCCATTCTTTCGGCTGTTTAGCTTCTCACTGTCATCTCCTTCAAATCCCTCTACCAAATAAGTCCTCTGTCATTTCTTCTCATTTATATCAGCGGTATGCTTTCTTTCTCACTTCTTTGTTTAAAAACTTTGTTTCTTTACTGGTTGCTGTTTCTAATTCTTATTTTTGTTCTTCAGTTCTGGTTTCAGTTTCATAGGAAATAAAGTCAAATTTCTTCAAACTTACATGATAAAAGATGGTGAATATTTTCAAACCATTCAGTTAAATAATGGTAGATTTGGGTATATATTTGATACCCAATATAGACTTACCAAATTGCTCCAAACCTGATGATTGATGAGATTGAAACAAAAGTTTTATCTTTGAATGTAGAAACAGTTACCCCAAACTTCAGACATGTAACAGCCTGATTTAATGTCTCTGAAATAAGGTAAAATAACTTGGTCAAGCTCAAACCAAGATATTCTTTCTGCTGAAATGGTGTATTGGATAAGTTATGCCCATGCAACTCAGCAGTTTGAAACACTTTTTGGAGGTTTTAGATAGACTCAATGTTGTTGGTCCAGGTCCCCCACAGAGTTTGATACTCTTGCACATATTTACGTACCTCAGAAAGTTTCCCCCAGCTGGTGAGTACATACTCACTTCTCAACTAATCCCGCTGATAGCCACTAATTTCTTTTTTGCTCATCCAGCTCAACATGAACATACCATATAAAGTTTCTGGCGGTCTTCTGGTCTTCTTCAATATCACAAGACTGAATGAAGCAATGAATTGGAATCTATTGGGCCGGCAGCAAGGGATCCAGCATTCACCAAACACTGTTCATGATCCAAATTTTTACTTACCAAAGGGTGTGGTAGTGAAAGGAAATAAAGTAAATTGGATCAGAACATGCCATACAGAGACCAAAATATTGTCCTGCTATTCTGCTCCTGATAACATATGGAAGGTCAAGAATGAAACAAACAATCCCATTAAATTCACCATCCAAACATCTGGGCAGGAATATCCGGGTTCTCAAAGTACTATCCAACCATCAGAAGAAATTGTGACTGGTATACCAGGGTCAAGTGAAATTTTGCTAGATGTCCATTCCTGGGGACAAGTTATATAGTATCAACACTAAACTATACTAAAGGTGGCTTCTCAAATATTTAATCTCAGATTTTCTCAATGGCTGCATTATTTTACATCAAAAATTGATCAACCTTTACATTTAGTCAAACAATCCATGCTTTGAATGACTGAACCAAAGATTGATGAGTTTCCTAGACTTGTAAATCTGTGCCTTAGATTGTACCATCTATACTTATAGTTTTTTGGTGAAAATCAAACAAAAAGCCATTGCTACTTCTTTGATAAAGAAACCCATTGATTGGTAGTATAACTCATTCTTGGGGAAAACAGAAGTTGATTTTGAAAACAAGAAATAAAATTCTCTTTACATTTGTAACTGTTTATAGGGAGAGCTATAAAGAGGAGTTGGTCAAACAACTCCCAAGGATTTGCCAACAACTCCCAAGTACCGCTGACAGACATCCATTGAGAGTTTTTGTGAGAATCTCCATGCTATGTGTCACTCACAAGGCACAACAGATCAGCTTAAATAATATCAGTTTCCACAACTACATTCAGTTGTGGGCCTTTCCCATTCCTAGCTTGGTAGGAATTCCTCCTTCTATGCTACTAATGCTAGACAAGCCTTCTTTTGCTTCTCTCATCTCTCTATTCCATTGTCTCTGGGATCTCTAGCCATTAGTTGTAGTTAATGATTGGATGTGATTCCTCCTTCTATGCAACAAATGCTAGCAATCAACCCCAGGTACTAGAATTTGCTTGAGCTCATACGCTCTCTAGTGCTCTACTGTTATGAATCCTACATTTTGTGAAGGTTTTACGGAACCCTTACAGTTGCTCCCCCAAAAGGATCCCCATCCAATTTTTTAGGGACTTGGTTAATAAACTCCCAAATTTGGGAGGATTGACTGCCAATCTTTGAAGGGCTTGGGAGGATGGCCTTGGGAATGTCCTGGGACATCCCCAGCCCCCAAAACCGGTTCTCCCTCAACCTTGGGATTAAAACCTCCTATTCCTACACTGGAAATAGGAGATGGCTCCCAAGGAATAATGATAACAAATGATCAATCCCTGGAAAAAGCTTCAAAAATAATCATCCCCTCAAGAAGTCTCTGCGCAATGCCCTAAAAATCTCAATGGCCCCCCCAGACATCAAATTTGTACACAATCAGTGCCTGGGGGAATACTCCCGGCTGTCAAGTTCCCCCCCCCCCGCTGTACACCTTGATGGCTGGGAGTAATACTTCCAGTGGTTGAAACCCTTTTTTCTGAATGGAGAAGGTGATGATGGAGGAGCAAGCTCTGCCCTTCTATCCTATCAGATAACAAGACCTACCAAGCTCAGCTTGGCAAGTTTTAATCAAGTGATAGAGTTGGAAGCGCCATCTGAGGATTTAAGGTTCAGAAGGTGATTTTCTTGGGTTTTCACTTCAAACCTATTAGTATGTACAGTGCAAAAATTGCTGTTTTTTACCAATCTGAGTTCACATGTTGTTAGCCTAGCATGTGGGCCAAATTTAAAAAAAAACATCATGATGCCAGAAAAATTGAGTCTTCTACCTCCAGGTGAGTTGCCAAAATGTGAAAAAATGATTATCAAATCATTTGTTCACATGCTTCAGATCATCAGATCTTAGAGCATCTCCCACGCAAGTGGTAAATTGGGGCTGTAAGCCCCATTTACCACCCCAATTCCCAAAACACCCCGCCACTGCGGGTGGTATACGGGGTGGTAAGCTACATTTTCAGTCCAAAAAATGTACCAAGGGGGCCCGGTACCTCCCTTGATGCCGCTTGGGAATCCGTGATATCCACCCTCCATCTCGTGAAACCCCCATAATTGCAACCCGTTCACATAAACATATCCCGCACTTGACCTTGCTCATCCAATCTTCAGTGCAGGTTACCAATTTGCGGTGGTGCACCTGCCTGATTTCAGGTGGAAACTCGGGAACACGGGTGGTAAATCCTTTGTTTACCACTCCGGATTTACCACCCGAAGTGGAGATGCTCTTACCCACATGAATGGATAGGAAATTAATAAATATGTCAATGTGTAGTTCTAAACACTCAGTGGTGTTTTTGGCAGCAGGAAACACAGTGAGAACTGTCTAAGGCATAGTCCCACACACTGGGAATCCCGAACTTCCCCAGTCCTGGACCCCAAAGTTTGGGACTTGGTGTCAGCCTGAGTGATGCCAAGAGCTGAAACTCTTCTAGCTACACTAGGTGCAAGGATGAATTCAGAGGTGTACACGTGTGAGTGACACGTGAAAAGTGGGTAGAAGTGTGGTAAAAAGTAAATAAAAACTGTTAAGTTTTTATTTACAGAGGGGCCTGAGTTACAGGGGTTTTTATGGTGCCCTCTAATATCAGGTCCTGGGTTACAGGGGTGGTACTGATGCTCTGGTCCTTTGTAGTAAAGGAGTATGCCCAGAATAGCCTACAACTGAAGAATCAAAGAAATAATACTTACTAGTACTTATCTCTAAGCCAAGGAGGTCTTCAGGAGGGGGGAACTGTTCTTGAGGCGCTCAGAAAGGTGGGTGAGAGATGTTGAGGGAGCTGGGGAACAGGTGTTGGGTTGGAAGGTTGAAGTTCAGGTTACAAACAGCAGGAACAGGGCCAAAAGGCAGGTTGATACTGGGTGTTGGTGACGGTTTATGCTGGTAAGTAATGATGAAGATGGGGAAACAAAGTTCAGGGGGAAGAAGGGGCTCTTAAATACCCATTCTGGGCCTCTGGAGGCGAACTCAGGAGTCTCTCTAGTTGCTACAACTCTCCTACTAAGCCTATGGGAGCTTTTGATCATCTGTAGCACCTGTAGAGCTTGGTTACAGGTGTCAAGGAGATTATGTAAGGCTTGTAACCATGTTTACAGGGTGTTCTGACGAAACTGTAACACTCCTGTAGCCTATGTCAGCACTGCATGATGCATGGGTTGATCCTCAAGAGAGTAACTGTCCCAATTGGGCCAAAAAGGGCCACAGATCATCCCAAACAGTTTAATACTGTAGTCTGTGCTCATGTAGTTAAGGTTTCAATGATGTAAACCTTGTTTGTAGATTTTTCCCGAACTGCATGAACCTTAATTACACATGTAGCCCCCTTACAACATGTAGTATGATGTAACTGGAGGGGTCTACAGTGTATTTTGGTCCAATATCACTCAAGGACTACAAAGTAAGTGAAGGAGTAATAATTCAGGGGTACACTTGGTGAGCTACCCTAGGTTATTTTGCATGTAGATTCAGAATCTGCAATAATATTCTGAGTTATACTTAAGGTTCAGAAGTTATTAGGAGATTCTGGTTAAAAATGTTATTTTCCATTATTTATTTAGTTATTTAAAATATTACAATGTAAATGTACTGTGTAATAATGTCTCTATTATAGTGCTTCCACTTATTTAAATAGTATATTTTATTATTTTAAATTTATGTACATATATAAGTAATAATATCTCTAATTTATATGTAAAATGCTATGTTCAGGCTGGCTCTGATTAGTAGCAGGCTGACACTTGGGATGGGGTCAGAGGAGCCCTGAAACCCCGTAAATATTTGGGGTGTCATGTAGGCTTTGTTTCATGGGAAAAAACCTGAAAAAACAAGCAAAGAAAGTATGAAAAAGAGAGAAAAAAAACAAGAAACAACAAGAAATTTCTTGATGTCCATATGGTGAATCTTTGTTTTCTTTCTGAGATTTGGATTGGATAGGTGATGGATGTCTGAAAGATGTTGATGAAACATCTTTGTACTTCCACTTTTATCTTTTTTTTCCTGGCTTTCCCCAGAGCTGGCTGGTTTTAATAACGACTTGACAGGTGGTGTGAGTGTTTCCTTCAATGTCCTTGAACTGATTCCAGACCCAACTGCGCTTATTTGAGGTCAACCCACTTTGGCTATTGCTGATCTCATCCAAGTCTTGAATCTCTGGGCTCTTGTTTGTAATTTGCTTCGTTTTCAGGGGTCCAAACGTCCGGGAGTATGGAATCTAGCTGCTAGTGCCACATTGTGGAAAGAAAGGCGCGCCCTAGGAGATTTCTTGTACTTCTCCGCTCCGCAACACGTCCTTCTCCGGTTTGTAGTCCGGGGTAACTTGCTTGATGGTCTTGTAGGTAGGTAATAATAACTATTCTTTATTGGCTTTTGGTAGGTAATACTCTAACTCTTTTCTATCTCTAACAATTCTTTAGGCTAATACACGATTCACTCCTAAGTCACTCTGTTTTCCCGATATGTTCCCAGTCATAAGTTTTCTCTCCCTCCTCTTTCTCTTCCGCTCCGAACTCCCCTCTTCCCGATTATCCCACGCTCAGGTTTCCTCCTTCCGCCCACGATGTCCTCTGCTTTCACTCCCTCGGACTCCGCTCGTCACCTCCCTCCGACGCCTGTTGGTCCAGTTTCCTCCGGCCGCCCGTGGACAGGTCTCTCACCGCCGCTTCCGCCTCTGGTCCTCTCTGAACTAAAGATGTCATCAGGTACCTGTTTCCAGGTACCTTGTGTCCGTTGGCGGGTACCCGCCTGAGTCAAACAGGTACCTGTTGGGAGGTACAGGTACGGGTATGGGTATCTGGCTGGTAGAGCACCAGGTACCTTCTCATACCCGTCCTATTAAAAACACCAGATGCATGGATAATTCTACATGTATTTAGACATATCTTGAATTGCCTCAAGTACATATGGACACTTCACCCGGATCTGGGCCCCTTATATCCTCAGCACTCACCTTCTGTGAGCCTGGGTCTCTATAGTGACAGCAGGACACAAGGTATGGGGGGCACTTTTATATGTATTTCTTATGAGAAGAGGGATACAAATAAAAGTAAGAGAAAGGGAGAAGAAGAGTGATAGAAATAAATGATATTTTTGTTCTTTATTTATTTTAAGAAGATGATTAAAGTTCTGGCAGTCTTACTGTCTCTGTTTAGATGGCTGCTGACAGTCTTACTTTCCTTAGTAGGATAGCTGTTATAAGCGGAGCTAACTCTGACGCCTCCAAATCAACAGAAACTGAAATGGGTTATTGATACTGATGAATCAGTTCAACCACAATTTTTTAGATCAGGGATGATCAAGGTTCTTTAAAGGGAAACCTATGTAGTTTTCAGTTTTACTACCAAACAATAAAAGAGAACAATCTTTGAAGCTATTGGAGCTTTGGTTGATCAGGGCTTTTGGTTTAGAGAAGGAAGAGAAAGAGGTGAGAGTGACAGAGAAAGAAAACAAGCAGATAGATGCTAGCTGGACTTAAAGAAGTAACTTACTGATGACACCAATGACACTGAGTAGTGGGAAAGGCAGGAAAAGTAAGGTTCTTCTGGTTGATAAGTGTAGGCTGGATCTGGTACTGGTTGTTGTGGTTTCTGGGTGGTCTGGAGTCTGAAAATCCTCTGGAAGCGGAATCAACAAGCTCAGAGAGGATTTTCAAAGTTGGATGACATAATCATTACATGTACATGTGGTAGAAGGAGCTGAAGCTCAAGGTACGTGGATATTTCATAAGTACTCTGAAATATTACAAAGTCAGTGAAGGATTGGAGTAGTGTAAAAGTGGTCAGTGGTGACTAGGGTTAATTTTACACCAGGAATCTAATTCTGAAGTCAGAAAAGCTAAAAGTCTTCAGGTAAAAAAGATATGATAATATTTTGAATGGACGTGGGGGATTTAGGCAGTCTTTTGGCCAGCTTGGCTGGCTCTAAGGCTGACACCTTCCCCCCAACCAGCCACCTCCTCACAACCCGTCCACAACCAATCAGTCATCTCCTCCCTATCCCTCTGCCATGGGGAAGCAAAGAAAGCGCCACAAGGAAACCAAATCCCATAGATCCTCTGGATCATCATCAAGTTTGCCTGGACAATCAAAAGAACTTGCATGTCTCGAAAGAAAAGTAATCCCGGACCAGTCCTCATTGATGACGATTCCGAAGTCAAACCTAGTCCCAGTGTTGATGCTACAACACCTGGAAGCCTCTCAAAATTGTCCAAAGCTATCCTCACAGATGAACAGGAACTCAGTAAGCACCTCTCACATTTCTTGTAAACTGAAAGATGAATTGATTGCAAACAAACAATGACCTATCTACAGAAAAGGCACAACGGGTACATGCAAATCAGCAAAGCGCATGCTATGCATATTTCAATCCACCTATACTTTCTGATGCAAAGGACAAAAACGGCCGACTAATGATTGCTTATCCGTGCAAGATGTGAGCTATTTTTTTGCTTTTTCTCTTTCAACCTCTTGCACAATCAATGTGTTTGGGTAACTTAATTCATTGGTTTATCTTCTTTTTAGGTGTGGCGGCAAGACTAACCGACCAATATACGAGTCTTCGCCAACCAACCTCGCAAAGCATGTTGCCAGTTGCACCAAGAAACAACGTGAGGCAAACTCCAATCAAAAGCTTGCCGACATGGGGGTCTCAGGAACCGGGGATATTGACCCACGAGAGGTGATGATCTATCTCTTACTCCTGGTCTCTCATGCTTCAACTAATTCTGATTAATCATATTTTAGGTACCCCAGCTTTGCGCCATCTGGTGTGCACAATCAGCTCAGCCTTTTGCCTCTCTTGGAGAAACATCTCATCTAGGAATCGTACATCCGACGGTCATCAAGAATCTTCCAAAACGGAGAACAGTCTCAAATGACATTGCCAAACTATATACCGCTGTGCAAGAGTCGCTCATTGAATCGTTCAAGGTAAGATTGACCTTCAATGATCTCATTGCGCTTTCCTTCAACAGAATTAATTACATCTTCCTTTTCAGAACACTAAGGGTGCCATGTACCTTGGGCTTGATGCTTGGCAGTCACCCAACGGTTTTGACGTCTTAGGGACGGTCATATATAGGCTGGTCAAAGAGGAAGAAGGTGGCTTTCACTTGGAGGCAATGCCACTTGACTTTGTAAGGTTACAGAAAAGCCACACAGGCCTTTACTTGGCCGAGACCGTTCAGCTTATTGTTGAAAAATTTGGCCTGCAGGACAAGGTAAGCTCTGACTCATCTACTTTCCCGCTTCAGTGTGATTGGAGTGATCAATGCTAATTATTAGGCAATTAGATCTATGGCATTGTAACAGACAATGCATCTAATAATAGGAGTATGATTGAGGAGCTCCAAACTTTCCGATGGCCTCACTTCAAAGGTGAAGCCACTTGGGTTTGTTGTTTCGCTCATATACTCAATCTGATTGCTCAGGTAGTCCTGAGGCCTTTCGGAAGCCACAAAAGAACCAAGACCGTGGTCTCTGATAATGAAGAATCGGACGAAGAAGAAACTGAGGATCAAGACAATCAGATCCGATTGTAAGTTGGTGATGTCAATTGTTCATTGCTTGGGCCGTGTACAGCCAAATTGAATTTTTACCGCTTTGACAGGGCAACTCATGACTCCGCAGATGATGGTGATGATGATGAGGATGATGCGGGTTCAATCATTGATGATTCAGCACTGGCAGCCGAGCTCATTGACGATGATGAGGTGGAACTGGAGGATGATGATGTGAATGAATTAAGTGATGAAGACGAGGACGATCAATACACATCCAACTCATGCAGAAAAACCCTAGCCAAGGTAAGCCCGCTCTTCGTTATCATGTTTGCTAGCAGACAGGATGATGACCTGTATTTGAGATATGTTGCTACAGTTTCGAGCAATTGCTAGGAAGCTTAACAAGTCACCGAATTCAAAGGCCCACTTTGTGGAGATCTGCCAAGATCTGGAGTGCGTGAGGCCACATAACATCGCCCGTGATGTCCGTACCCGGTGGAATTCTACGCTGACACAATTGTCAAGCATTGTGCGATGCTCGTCAGCAATGTGAGTGCTTATTTTCCGGCTCATGGTTTGACCCACAACATTGATAAGCTTGCCTCTGAAGTCTTGAGTGGCAGAAAGATCGAAGACATGGTCCATCTCAAGAGTACTACATCAACGAGGATGATATTCACTTAGCTCGCGACCTGATTGAGGTCCTTGAACCCTTTTATGAAATTACACTGCAAGTATCAATGCATGGGGCGGCTCGAATATCGGACATTGTGGTCTTCATTGACCAAATCACCTCTCATCTCTCCACCATCATATGTGATAAGAAAGACAAGTACCCGCCAGCTTTGAGGAATGCATGCCGTGCAGGCCTCCAGCTCACCAATAAGTATTACACCCTGACTGACTGCTCGCCTCTATACCGAGTCGCTATGGGTATGTTCCCCTTCCATTGTCTCATCCGATGGAGTTCTTGACCTGTAAACTGACTTGGATTTGTCAGTCCTTCACCCCTCGTTCAAAGACGAATATTTCAAGCTCGCCAAATGGAAACCAGAATGGATTCAGGAAGCCATAAGGCTAACTCGCGAGATGTGGGAAAACCATTACAAGCCTTCACCTCAAGCAACAAATTCTCAGCCAGCAAATCAAGCCATGCAGGATATTCTCTTCTGATCGACTTGATACAAGCTAAGTATTGATTGGATGTTCTCAGAGGCCACATGCAGGTATACTTGCCGGGTTGGTTGGTGCCTCTGAAGCGCGTGGAGGCAGCACCCCCACTGACCCGCTCTCTATGTGGCTGGCTGGGGCTTTGAGTTTGAATGATGAAGGAGGACCGGTCAACCCCCTCAAGTGGTGGATGCGACAAAGACGGGCAGGAAACACTCACGGGGGCCTGCTCCAGATGGCCCTGGATGTTCTTAGTTGTCCGGGTACGTTGAGCCATCTTTTGTCATCTGTGGATTGCCCCAGTCATTGATCTCATTCCATGATATAAAGCAACTACGGTCGATGTGGAGCGTTCTTTCAGTTTTGGAAGGGATTATGTCTCTCTTCGAAGGCACCAACTTAGTGCATCCTCGTTGACGAGGGGGATGGCTGTTTCGTTTTACGCAAAGAACGGCAAAATACAGAGTGGGGTATTACGTAAATGGAAGCTCAATAAGAAGAATGAACAGAAGCAAAAGGGCAAGGGTAAATCAATGAGAAAATGAATCAAAAGTAGTAGATATGTTATCCATTGCGTAGTCTAGTTGCAATGAATTTGTGCCACCAAAAAAACACAACACCCGCAGGTACCTGCACCAGGTACCCGGGTACCTGCTTTTTGAAACCTTGACAGGTGCGGGTAAGGGTACAGGTATCCAAAATGTGAGTTTTTTATGAGGAGGTACCTGTACCTGTTGCAGGTACCCTGGTATCAAGTGACATCTTTACTCTGAACCCTGCTTCCGCCCCTCGGTGCCCCCACTCCTCGTAGCCCCCTCCGCAGTATGCACTGAACACTGAACCTCCATTCCGCAGTCGGCCGTGACTCCAGTTTCCGCCAGCGCCCGGATTCCCTGCAGCAAGCTTTTCGGAACCTTGCGCATTCGGCCTGCTTTCCCCCGCTCTCCCGCGCCTCGGAAGGCTAGACTTTCCGCTAATGCACCTCCGCTTTCCTCAGTATGCGTGTGTGTAGTGTCAGCTCCGCATGCTTTCCGCATCAGCCGCGCGCATTCCGCATGCACCCAAACAAACCGGCCAAAGCTTTGGTCCAGACGCGCTCTCACCACCACAACGTCCAAGTCCTACAGACAGCCCCCCCCAAAAAAAAAAAGATTGCAAAAAACAGGAATTTCACAGGGCTTCAGGGCAATCCCAGAATTCCCGGGGTCTGTGACTTGGGATAACCTTCCAGCCCCGTCCCAAACCCTGGGACAATGCCTTTGAACTGTCAGCCAGACACTAGAGCACCATGAGAAGGCTCACTGCAGAGCAAATGTAAGTGCATGGACAGCCAAAGCCAGACCGGACTATGACATGAGTGAAGAAATATCTGGTCACAGTCTGACCAGATTATGGATTAGTTATTTCTATTGGCCACTACATCTACAAATTGGGGAGGAGTAATAGGGAAAGGATAGCATGAAAATTTTCAGAAAGATCATAAATTTCTATGGACTCAGTGGCTTGCTTAGAAACTGTGATATTATGGGGGAAATGGGGGGTTTTATGATCTATCCGGCCCTTTGGCTGGATGCCCTCAGGCCAGATGAGCAACATTACATGCAACTCCCTCCCTGTGCGACCTATGGGCCAGGGAGGGACTTGTGTGAAGTTCAGATATGGAGTTTGTAGACTAACCAAAATCTTGTCAAACACCATAATTGTTGGAGAAGAATGATAAACTTGGAAATGTTTCAAGTTGCTACAGTACATAGTTCAGTCAGAGTCTTTGAGGAAGTTACATAAAACCGAGTTTCACTCAGCTACAAGATGTGTTCTCTTGCGTCCTGGATAAAAAGATAAGATACAGTGAAAACCTCCTAAGGCCATATCTAATGGCAAAATCTGCCTGACTGCATTGGAAAAAACTGAAACCAATTTGTTCTTTTACTGAAAATATGTACCTCCTACATATAAAGGTATAACCCCCCTAAGGGCATGGCACAATCATGTGACCAAGGGGCATGCCGAACTTAACACAAGTCCCCTCCTCCGAGGAGGCGCAAAGCGCCTCCGAAGGAGGGACTTGCATATAAAGTGTCAAATCTGGGCTGAGCACTCCCAGCCAAATGGCTGAGAGCACCATTCAGGGCCTACTATACCCCATATCCACTTTGATTCACGCTACGCCTCCTGCACCACTGAAATCCTGAGGTTTTTTTACACCTGGTACTGCTGCCAATGTACTGATTTTCTTTCACATCTGGCAAATATTGCCAAGCTAAGAGGGAGATTCTGTAAACAATCCGTCCCCGTTGGTGCCGGATCCCTCCTTGTAAATATCCGGCACCTGTGGCCATAAACACATACTTATAGTCCCACAGGAAGAAGGGCTGCCAAAGAAGAAAGCAGTTATAAGATGATACTGAAAAAACCGTGAGACTTTCGATGATCCGACACCTGCATAATCCGAGAGGTACAAAGAATTGCCCGTGCAACACGTTAGAGTCACCAAGCAAAACTGGTGACTGAGCCGCCAATTATTGGTGTAATTTTTCCAAGAGAAATACAGGAGATACCTGAGATGCAAGGCTATCATCTTGCGGAAGGGCAAGTGAGAAGGAGTTGCGCTGAATTTTTAATTAAATTTTAAACACAATATTATCAATTTTCAGGAAAGTGGTGGTTCAGTACCTCCATAATCCATAGTGTCTCCCTGTTTTCTTTTACCTTTTTTTTTTTTTTTTTTTTTTGGAGGGTTGCAAAATATGGTTTGTAAAATTCAATTTTATATACCATGTTGTGCAATTTTGCAAAACATAATTTACAACTCATAGATGAGCTGCAAACTAATGGTTGCAAAATTCCTTGAAAGGGTTGCAAAATATGGTTTGTAAAATTCAATTTTACATACCATGTTGTGCAGTTTTGCAAAACTTAATTTACAACTCATAGATGGGTTGCAAACTAATGGTTGCAAAATTCCTAGAAATAAGGCAAAAATGTACTTTTGCAAATCATATTGTTTGCAAGACATAAGGGTTGCAACATATGTGCCTTAAAATTCTACTCCATGGGGCACGGGTTGCAATTTTAAGGCACATATTTTGCAACCCATATTTTTGGGTGATGGTTTGTAAAATTATACATTACCCCCATAAAAATGTAATTTTACAAACTATCCGGTTTACAAGACATATGTCTTGTAAAAAATAGTTTGTAAAATTCACTTACCCCATTTTCTATGTACTCAGGCTGCCAGTCTGACTTGCCAGGTAAGCCTCTCCTTCGGAGAGCGTCCCTTCGGGACGCGGGGTCCCTTCGGGACCCTCCGATCGAGAGGCTTATGTTAAGCTCGGGGGCATGCCCTTAGAATAGGGTTGACGGCGTCATAGGGTGGGGCGCGCCAAAGTGCGCCTGCCCCCCGTGCGCGCACCCGGGTCCCTGTAGATCCTGAAAATGGGGGTTGGCGCGCACCTGACTTTTAACCCTACTTTTGAAGGGCCCCTGAGATATCTTGGACCGGATCCAGCCGGATCACACCGGATTCAATTTTTTATGGATTTAAAATTTCCCATCTCAGTCTCTCACCACTTGGGATTATGCAGTTATGGCCTCTGACACAAGCACTATGCATTTTAGCAGAGGTCTTCCCTCTACAAAAAAAATCTACATATAACTAAAGGAATAGCCTCAGAGGGCCAAACAAACTGCCATGCAATCTAACGCCGGTGTCGACCTCCAATTCACATTTGTTGGATTTGTCGACGCCGGTGTTAGACCGAGGCAGACAGGTGTCCAACTCAAGAAAGCCCCAAAGGTCATCGAGTAAAACCCCCAACATCCGGGGCAAAAACAAGCAGCCTTTCCACGGGGCAAAAACAAGCAGCCTCCCCAAATTTGGGGGCATATACTAGTAAAAAATAAAAAAAACCCACTTTGAACCTGATTTTTCAGCTTTTTTGACGGCGCCCAGCTCGCCGGGGCGCCGCCAGCCAAAGGCGCCATGCTCTGGCAGTTTGACAGGCGCCCCTAGGCGCGCACCTCTTGAAAAGGTGGCGCCGTCAACCCTACCTTAGAAGGTTTTGGCTGTACTTAACTTGAAACTTGACTCACCCATTCCACCAAGCCCCAGATGGAGAATCATGATCATGAAGTTTGAAGGAGACACATTTGAGCCACGCTGCAACAAGAAGTCAACAGAGTGTTTATTGCATCAAGAGTCTTTAAGAACTGCTAGTATTTTCCCATCACTGTCTCTGAGAGCATCGAAAGAAAGCTTCACACCAACATTCAAGATGAAAGCATCGCAACATGGATGCCGTCTGACTCTGTTCATCTTATTCAGCATCCTTCAACTGAACAGAGCGGCGTCCAGCTGGAACCCACTTGATCTATTCCGGGGGAGCCGAGCCTGGTCGAGCGCTGGAGAAGCCTCATCCGCCGAGATCGCCCTACCTCGCCAGAAGATCATGGCCAAGAGCAACGTGAATTGGATCAAACTGCCGGATTCAGAACTCTCGCTACTGTCGATCCGGTATCGCAAAGAAGACGAAGCATGGACGGTCACGAATGAGACTGGCTTCCCTATCACCTTCTCAATGCGCAAGTTTGATGTGGAAGAAATGCTTGCAAAGCATCCGCGTGTGGACTACGACGACGAGATGGAAACGGTGGAGGACACTCATGGCAAGGTGGGGGCGAAGGAGGAAGTGGAAGGGGAGGAGGGAGTGGAGGGACAGAAGAAAGTTTATCGACAACTTACCGTCCAACCAAAAGAAGTATTAGTTGAACATTTGCCCAAAAATGTCGACGCTCTGTTAGTGAATATCGAATCCTGGGACCGTAGTGCTGTTAAGAAATAAAATCAACTTTAGAGGGTTTCAAAATATCCATTCCGCCAGGAGTCCGCTCAATTGGCAGCCCAATAATCTAATTACGCACCTCATCACCACCACCCAGTTTCAGGTTCTAGATCACTCATTTCCCTTCTCCATTGTATGTATCTAGATTAATATTAAAAAGAAAGGCTTGTTTCTTACACCCTTCATTAAAACATTCATCATTCCAGCGATCATCATGATAAGCTGATTATCGTCAGAGAGGAAAGAAAGATCTTATGAAAGAGAGTACTACTACTATGAAGAAGCACCACTCATGAATCTTCAAAAAAATACTTTCAAAGACATAAGAGATCTTGTGAAAACTTGTTCAACCTCTCAATCATCTTCAGGCATTTTTGTTCTTGTTTTTCTTTTCCACTTTATTTTTTATTTTCTAAAAGGCAATACAATGATATATATAAGAACAAAACTAAACAGAGAAAGAAAGAAAAACTTGTTTTATTGTATGAAGAGGCAGCACCAATCGATACAGAATGATAGATCAAATGTTTTTGTCATTTCTATAAGAACATAAAGCAAGACATAGCAGAAAAACAACATAAAGAATTTGAGAGAAAGAGAGAGAGAGTAAAAAAAAACAAGTCAATATGGAGATATCTGAAGCCTAGAGAAGAAAGAGGAAGGGATAAAAAAAGACAAACCTTAGGCCGTTTCTTAATCTCATCGTCTTTTAAGGCATGTAGCATGATTTTATTAGGCTGAGAAGCCGCGGTGCCAGCGGCGGGATTAGCCGCTCCAGTGGACTGAGCACCCGAGTGACCTTGGGACCAGTCGTAGGAGACCGTGTATGCAAATACCGTGCCTGTTCGGTTGAACGATACACTCGTAATCGGCCCGCCTCGGTTGTCAAATGCTACAAACACACACAAGGTTTTGTTCCCACCCCAGTTGAGCACATGATTGTCTTGATATACCAATGAGAAGAAAAGATAAACTCACTTTTTAGACGCGTCTTGCTGTCCTTATCCCACATATTGATCGTCTAAAGTAAGGAGGGGAAAAAAACTGGATTAGTGAATGAGAAGATATCTGAATATTTTGGAGACAAAGAAAGCTGACCCCATCAGAGCCAGCGGTAGCAAAAGTACCATGCTGTTTATGGAACTTGATATCGTTGACGGCCCAGACCTGAGGGATAGTATTAGCGTTGAGACGACTGGCGCCGGTGGGAGCATCTTTCCGATGACACTTGAACGAGAAGTTGTTGGCTGTCTGTTTATCCTCGACGTGTCTGCCCCGATGTGTTGACGTAAGCAACTCGGAAGAGGAGACAAGGCTCTTGATAGTCGACACTCACTGGATCGCCACTCGTCCTTCTACACTTCCAACCGCGTATCCTTGCGCATCATTGAAACAGGCTATACATCGTGTCTGCCATTTTAGCGGCGAGTCCAGAGATTTATATTCAACCGAAGGGTTACTCAAATGCTGAAAAAAGAAGGGAAACAAAGTCAGATGATAGTGAGTATTCAGGAAGCAGAGGTTAGGATGAAAGATGAGGGAGTATAGACGAAGCGAACATAGATATGAATTTTACGAGCAGCGGTGCCCACGACCATCAAAGGAAAGACGGTATCCATCGTATAGATGCGTTCGGGAAGGGTGACGGAGACTGCGGGAGTCGGCTGACGCAAGTCCCAATACTTGAGCGTTTTGTCCCAACTGCCGGTGGCCAGCAGGCCCTGGCCATTGATATCCAGCCAGGCCAGCTTTCGGATCGGCGCCTCATGTGCGGCCACTTGGGTCGACTGGCCCGTCGGCACATCATAGGCGCGCGCCGCCCGGTCACAGCCCCCCGAGATTATCTTCGTCCCGTCCCCAGACCAGATCACTTCCAACACCGGCTGCTCGTGCGAATATGCCGCTTTCGGGACCGATTGGCCTTGCCCATTCACTTCGTATATTCGTACCTTTTTTTGTTTTTGACAAGGAGAAACAATTGCATCATGTTACTTCTGGTGATTCTTTTTTTTGAATTGAGCTAAATGAATATGTGAATGTGTGTGTGTAGTATTACTTCATTTGACCAAGATCCAGCAGCCAAGAAATCAGCTTGAGGGGACCACGCGATGGAAGAGATGCCATCTGTCGGAGGATTTTCGACCTAAAACACGAAAAAACACGATTTTTTGGGCGAGATAGAGAGAATATCAATATTTGCTCAGTTGAAATAGAAGAATAAAGAGAGGGTTGTGTACCTCGATATCTTTAGGGTCTTGAGTGGTGACGGTAGTAGAGGAGGATCCGCCGCCGAATACGCCGGTATTATTGTTCGAGGCCGAGTTGAAGAAGGACATCGATCGCGAGGATTGGTTGGTATGGGATTGTAATCAAGAATTTGTTGGAAGGATCCAACAAGGGTTGTTGCTGGAAAAAATAATGTAAGCGAGTGTCACCGATCTGGAAGGGGGACTACCATGTGTGACAGGCCAGTGAAAGTCATCTCCTCTGTCACAGATAGCCACTCCACCTGTCACTACTACCCGGGGGATTCTGACTCGTCTCACCACTTCACAGTTCACTCCACTCGACTCCAGACTTGCAAACGATCCATCAAAAGACACTTCCAAAGAAACTCAAGGACCCCGTCAACGAAACGAACGAAGGAAGAATCAAGGAAAGAGATGGAGGAAGAAGAACCACGATCGATAATGGATCTCCCAGCGATCCGGGAATTCGATGCGTTCCCAAAGACCCTGCCCAACTACAAACAACGCTCCAGTCGAGGAGGCGTCTTGACCGTCTTCGTGGCCTGCCTCATCCTCGTCCTCATCTGGCACGAGCTGAAGGAATATCTCTTCGGCGAACCCAAGTATTCCTTCCTCGTCGACCCCTCTATCGCCCATTCTCTCGGCATTAATATCGATCTTACCGTCGCTATGCCTTGTCATTGTCAGTCCTTTCGTTGCTTTTTTTCCCCTTCGTCTTCCACGGTATTCAAAATTGCTCATCTGCAACTTGGATTGAATGTCTAGACCTTAGTGTGGATATCAAAGATGCTGTTGGCGATCGGATGTACATGAACCAAGAATTTAAGAAAGAAGGTGTGCGTATTCATTCCGTCTTTGTCTACTTCTACTATCTCAAGACAAAAAAGGCATTCTCACCTGATATCGATTTGTTTCGTAATATATAGACCCACTTCGATATAGGTGATGCCAAGAGAATCGAGTCAGTCTTCTTCTTCTTCTGTCCTAACCGGTGTTTGGTTAAATCTAAGATGTCTTTTTTTTGCTATTTCTTAAAAAAACACAGTCATAATAACTCGACATCAGAGCTTTCAGCGACCCAAATCCTGCATGCCTCGAAGAAAGGCCAAACGTTTGGGAAGACCCGACCATTAGTACCCGACGGGCCAGCCTGTCGGATTTACGGCAACACCCAAGTCAAGAAAGTCACTGGTAACTTGCACATCGTAAGAGAATCAATCTCCCCGAGTCTCTCTTTTTTTTTGGTTTGGTCTGAACTTCGTTTAAAAATTCATTTTGGGATCTTTTTTCTTAAGACTACTCTAGGACACGGCTACCTTAGTTGGGAACACACCGACCATAAACGTATGCCAAAACCCAACAAATTGATCTGGTTGTCCTGATTAATACTGACTCTCTCTTGATGAAGTCATGAACTTGAGCCATGTGATCACTGAATTCAGCTTTGGACAGTTCTTCCCAAAAATCGTTCAACCGCTGGATAACAGCGTAGAACTTACCGATAAACGTCAGTTTATTTTACTTTTTTGTTCCTCATGTTTGGTTGGACATCCCCAAATCACTGATCCTTTATATATTCTTCATCCAGCCTTCCATATCTTCGTAAGTCAGATTTTTCTGTTTGAAATTGATCTCATTAGAATGTTCTTACTTATTTCAATAAATCTTCATATGTTTTTTTATGATGATAGCAATATTTCATTAGTGTGGTACCCACTACTTATATTGATCGATTAGGCAGACAACTGCATACTAATCAGTATTCAGTTACTGATATGTCTCGTCCAGTTGAACATGGTCAAGGAATCCCTGGGCTTTTCTTCAAGTATGGTCAGTACTCCGCAACCCCCCCCCCCCAATCAACCCCCTTTTTTGTGGCTAACCATAAGGTTTTTGTATAGATATGGAACCGATGTCATTAATTTTACACGAAAGAACGACCTCATTGATCCAATTTCTAGTCAGATTAGCAGGGATGATCGGCGGGATAGTGGTCTGTACTGGATGGACGTTCCGCTTGGTCGACAGATTCGTCCAGAAAATCGTGCCCGGAATCATAGAAGAGGAGGAAAAAGAGGGACTGTCGCAGTCGGATTATTCGCCGCTTCCTTTCGTCTCGCCTCTCGTCAAAAATAATCACTCTTCGTCCAGAAGAACTTTGAATTGACTTGTTTTATATATGTATATATCCGCACAACCAAAATTCGAATTTTCTTACTCTCTCTCACAATCAAAAATACATAGATTAATATCTGTTCATTAGAATCAAAAACTCCTAAAACTTTTTTTTAATTTCTCTTCTTGTAACTTGGCATCATTTTTAATTTTCTTTTTCAATTCTCAATAGTCATACCAGTTTCACGAAATGCATCCAGGATAAACGACAACCAAGGCTGGAGAGTATTTGTGTCTGTGTTAGATATTGTAGTGATCATAGAAGTCGAAGTAGGCGCAGTAGAAGGAGAAGAAGGAGAGGAGATAATTGGATGATGAGTGACGTAGTTAGAGAGACCCAAATGTTGGATGAACGGTTTGAGATGGGTCTTATTAGAAGACACTCTTCGGAAGATCTCGGCTACTAATCCTTTCGCTTTCGCTTTCTGATCTTCCTCGTTTTTTGAGCTCATCATTATCCCTGTTTCGAGTATCTGGTGGATTCGCGGAGAGCCCGAATGCTCTAGAGCTGGTATTATTGCATTCAATCCCTCTTTTTTGTTTTGTCATTATCAATTTTTTGGGGTAGGATTGATCATTTTCGAAAATTAGAAGGGGTTTTGGGTTATTATTTTGTTCAGAAAAATTCAAAAAATTGGGATGTAGAGTCATTATAGTAACCGTTGAACAGTAGGGTTCTTTTTTTGGAATGGAGATGAGGAAGTGGATTTAATACGAACCGACAGGGTTTCCAAGCCTGATGAACAAGTCAGCAGCCACGAAACCAAGAGAAGGAACGAGATCAAACTATTCCATCCATCCATCCATTCATTCATCCATAAGATTCACTTCTTAATAATGAGACGATTGAATGAGAGAAGAAGACTGAGGAATACTTACGAACGGTTGACTCCATTCCAAGAACAGCAACAAAAGCGACGGAGAGACAGTAGGATGCGAGGGAAAGAGGAGTGTTGGATTTGATGGCAAGAGTTTCTTGAAGCAGATCAGGTTGGATTCGAGGATGATCGCCAGTTTCTTGGTCGCCTCATGATTAGTGTTAGTCGTCTCTTTCTTCTTCTCTTTGGGCAGTGTATTGGGGTCAGGATGGTGGTGGAAGAGGATGTAGTGGTGACTGGTCTGGATGATTCGGAGGTAGTTCTGGGATACGAACTCGTACTGGATCAGTGCAAGTAATCTTTCTGGATTCAAGTCGGCCACCCAGTTCTCTTCATCTTCTTCGTTCTCTAAAAGTCCCGAGTTCCTGTTACTGTTGGAGTTCGCGGTGCGAGGATGGGGATGAAACCACTAAAAGAATCGGAAGATCAATAATAATATGATGATGATGTTTTGGATGTATAGAAGTAGTCGATTCTGTTCACCTTCTCGGTGATCGGTTTGTAGTCGAGTGAGGCCTTCAAGGCTTCTTTGAATCGGTCCTCTCGGCGGGCCTGTTTGAGATCGATGGTAGTAGTAGTAGCAGTAGTAGTCTGGTCCTCGGATGAGCCATTGTGCCCTTCGAACAGTAGTAGTCCATCTGTGTCTTCTGGTTCAGTGGTGCTTGTCATGATGATGATGATGGGTCAGGTGGAAATCAGGTGTTTTTCGGCTGAAGTGTTTACTGTCTCGGCTGAGAGCTCCACCTCTTCCTTCTCTCCTCAAACCATCAACAACAGATTTCCAAAATGACTGAGTCCGTGGGGCAACCCGACTGTGACACTGCCGGCCGGCCATCGACGACGATCGACACCGAGTACACGCCCTGCTCGCTCGAGTTCTGTCCGGCCCGGCCCCGGCTCGGCGCCTGTGGCTTCTACCAAACCCAACAGAAAGAGCAGCCGACGGCGACGGCATCCGACTCCGAATCGTCGCCGCAGGTCGAGCGGATCGGGAGATGTGTCTTGTTCGAAGCTTCGCTGGATGTCGATCAGGGTCATGGGATCAACTAGTTCAGTGTTCTCTCTTGTGATGATATATATGGTCAAGAACCTTCTGTTTACTGATGACTCGTATCGTACTCTGCTTGCAGTCAGCAGCTTCAGTCCTTCGATTGTCCCGCTGTCTTGGACCAACGATGGTTGGTACATGTTCTCTCTCTCTCTCTCTTTCTAGGATACAGCTCTCTCATCTGATGTGGTTCTCATCTGATGCCAAAGGACACAAGATCCTCAAAATCCTATCTTAATCACCGCGGATGCTCAAGGCGACTTGAATTCATATAAATTGAACGACCCTTTCGTACGTCTTCCTTTCTTTTCTCATTTGTTCTACTCATTTGAATGGATAAATGATTTGTTATCGTCCAAAAAAAGGGAGACTCTCCTCGACTCGATCGTATCCATACATTCGACTGTTGTCCGACGAAGACAGACGTATTATGTTTATCCCTAGACATCTCAGACAAACAAAACAAGTACGCAAAGTGATCGCCTTCAAAACAGGACGAAAAAAAAAGAAGGGGAAAATGTGACTGTTTGTATTGGATATTCCGACAGATCAGCGTCACCGAAGATCGTCTGTTCGTTATCCAACGGCCAAGTCGTCCTTCTCTCCCAACATTCCTCCTCTCATTCTTCTGCTGGATTGGTCGAAGAACGTAGATGGGACGCTCATCTGTATGAGCCCTGGACTTGCGCGTTCGATTATTGGCAGCCTGAGACTGTCTTCACCGGTTCATAACCCCTCTCTCTTAACTTTAGTATAACGACTGAAAAGAAAAAAAAAAGACTCATTTTGTTGTCTTGGTTTGGGTTGTATATATAGGTGGAGATGATTGTCAATTGAAAGTCTGGGACACTCGTGATACTCTCCATCGACCAGTACTCGTTAACAAACAGTTCAGTCCTTTCTTTTCTTTCTTTTGTACTCACTGCCACTTTTGCCTTTCTTTTCGGTTGTAAAAATTGAGTTTTTTTCAGGGTATGCTCTAACTAACATACATATATGTTTTTGGATGCATGTAGATTCGATGGCGGAGTGACGGCTATTAGGAGTGACCATCTAAGAGATCATATGGTTGCTGTTGGAAGGTCAGCTTCAAGTCCCTCTACTCACCAAATTTCTCCAACGAACAGGGTACCAAACACCGGCCACAACGACCCAAAAGGAAACCAATACTTACTTATTTTTTTGTAAAAATTGGATTTTCGAATTGGGGAATATGAAACAAAATAGCTATGATTCGCGATTAAGGATTTTCGATAATCGGAATATGTCGAGGCCGATTCTAGAGGAAGATTGTGGAGGCGGGATATGGCGAATAAAGTGGGACGACCGAGTAACGGGTCGATTACTATTAGCGACGATGCACGGTGGATTCCGCGTGCTGCAGATTTCTGAACATCAACCCAAAGTCGGGGTCGAGGAAGACAGTCCAAGACTCTCAGCTTCAGTGGCATCTTCTTTCACTCATCGGTCGGGACTCGCTTATGGCGCCGATTGGACTCCCTTATTGGATCATAATCATGGCGTTGTTCCCCAGGACTCGGAGCAGTTCAGTCCTTCGACGCAGCTTATTGGTGGTTGCTCTTTCTATGATCGTGCTCTTCATTTTTGGACGCTTGATTCACACACCTACATATGATACTTCTTGGAACGCTCATTCGCATTCCTCCCAGCTCTCATACAATTGCTTAATGTTATAAAAAAGCATGATACCCTCCAAGGGCTAAAATTTTCAAATCCCTCCCATAGAAGCAGGAAAAAACCCCTTCAGTTCTTGGAATAAGAGGTTATTAGTGTGATCGTACTTTCTTGTGTCCATACATAAATGGTGTTGCAAGCCTATCTGGGCACACACCAAAGTTTTGCCAAAAAAGGGCCAGGCTGCACACTGGGCCCATCCCAAAGCCCCCTTGGCCAATCCTCAAACCTGCTTGGCAAACTCCCAATTCCCGCTTGCCACATGCCAAAGTTGGTGGGGTTGGGACAAAGCCTTACTGGGCTGGAACCAAGCAAGGGTGCCAATCCATGCCCATCAAGAAGGGATCCCATCTTCAACCTCTTGACTTGATGGCCGGTAATGGTATGGTACTGGTCATCAACAAGGAGAAACTCCATTGTCAATGGTTGGTACTTTTGCCAACCATCAAATGGAGATGGCTCCCTACCAGCTATTGAGAAGGGAATCTTCCCTCCTCAATGGCTGGTACCATCTGTGATGTACCAAGTGTCAAGAGGATACTCAAGCCATTTTGTATTTGTCATTTTACCAGTCTTGAGTATATTACAGGAGAAATAATTTCTGATACTCTATTATTGCCTCTTGCCCTAAGAAAAAAACAACATCCCAGAGCATCCACATTGGTGCATTGATTAGGCAGGATTGGCTGCCTAATCTAATCCTCCCAACCACACTGGTTGGGATGAGAGATTGGATTAAACTAGCCCCAGAGGCAAATCTGGAGCTAGTGGGTATCAAACTTATACCTTGCTAATTCTTGGATTAGCAAGCTTGCCAATCCTCACTAATCCACTCAACCAATGCAGATGCTCAGAGCATCCACCTTGGTGGGCAGATTAGGCAGGATTAGCTGCCTAAACTAATCCTTGCCACCAAACCAGTTTGGATTAGATTGGACTAAAGTTTGTTCTGGGGTCAGCTTTGGAGTAAGCGGGTATCAGATTTATACCTTGCTAACTCTAGGATTGGTGGGCTTGCTAAGCCTCACTAATCTGCTCAACCAATGCAGATTCTCAAACATTTAATACTTATTCCTTGGATCTATATAGTAAATTGAGTGTAATTTGAGGTATTATTTAAGGTATTCTATAAAGATGATTATTGAGATTGTTTATAAAATGTGAACTACTGTTATTTGTTATTTTCTGTATATCAATGATATCAATTCAACACCAAGAATGAATTTGGATGATGCAAACATGCATTCATAAATTTCTTAACAGAAAATCTTGTTTTTCTGTCAAATTTTCAATTCCATGGAAGAAGAGATTGCTCAGAAAGGACTTTGCCCAGGGGCTCAGAAGACCATTTCCCATAACCAGATTTTCCCAGAGACTCTTGTGATGTATTTCCATCCAGATTTCTAGAAAGTGCCAAAGAGTTCCCACTAAGTTGCTTGATGGATTACCAAGACCATTTAAAATAGAAATTCTCCTTTTCTTTAGGTCATCATCAGCATCTAAATAGGGCCTCTTCAAATAATTGTGAAATCCCACAAAAAATTCACTTGCATTCTGGATTTCCTTTCTGAACATTATGCTATCTTCATTTTGTAGTCCTTCTGTCTTGGGAAAAATTGATATTATGATCTCAACATAAATCAAAAAAGCTGGAAAAAGATCTTTTAGTGCAGAAAGTTTTACACTATTTTCATTGTATCCCTTCAGATCAATTTGGGTTTGTTCATTCCAATATTGGTACCATGTCTCTTTTTTCAGATTGTTAATCTTTTCTATAATTTTTCTTCTGCTTAAGCTTGTTTTGGACTCAACGTAAGAACGTTTCAGAGTATTGCAAGCCTCTTTCATATTCCATTCTGGTATTACAACTCTCCCCCAAGGGAGGTATGTTGCTAGTTGATGCAGGCCAGTCAGGACAACCTTATAGCCATGAGGAATATTTTCACAGTTCAAAAGATCATTTAAATTCATTCTTGGAAATCTTGGTTTTGAGTTAGTATCTAAATGATTTATGAAAAAGTGAATGTTTTTGTTTGTTTCTGGATGGGGAATTTTGTGAATGTTTGATTTAGTGACTTTTGTTATTATCTCTTCAGGCAAATCTTTTTTGCATTTCACATCTGGGATAATTAACCTAGTTGATTTATCTTTCATAATTTTCAATTCTGCAGAATTTGGATTAATATTAACTTCATCTTTCAATTTTGTTCCAGTTTGTTGCGGCAAGCTTTGTGAGGGTGAATGATTTTTAGATATCTCATAATGTGGGGTACTATTTGGGTTTGGAGGTTTCAAGAAATAGGAGTTTTCCAATGATTCATGCATCTTTCTTTTGGTACCTTTAGAACTAGATTTCCTACTTGTTGAGCTAACCACATCATCTTTTTTGCCTTCCAAATATCTTTTATTTATTGAATGATCATTTCTTGATAATATCACAGCTTCATCATGTACAGAGTTGCTTTCAAACTGGATTGGTTGTGGTAACATTTCAGAAACTAATGATTGATGTTTCATTGAAAGTTGTGTTGTGGGTTGTTGTGAAATAGATTCAAAAACATTAGGGGTAGAAATTGTCTTTGTATTTTCTAGCTCACTAACTTTGGATCTTGATGGTGAATCAATTTGATTGAGAAGGGTCTCCAACTCTTCAAATAAAATTCCATCATTCATTCTCACATAGGATGGAGTTTCCCATGGATTAAAGGTATGGTCATTCAAACTTGAGTATAATTGATTATTTTCATGATTGGAAGTTCTATCACTGATCATTTCCTGTGTTGCAACCCCATTCATCATTAAATTGTTCCTACTCCCCTGGTCTGAAATGTTTGATTTTTCTGTTTCTATAGATGATTGAGGATGATTGTTTTCCACATGCACTCCTTGAATACCATGAATTTGAGATTGAAGGCACTCATGATTTTGAAAATTGTTTTGGCTTGATTTGGATGTAAATGGTTCAACTTCATCATCAAGATTGAAATACTCAATAGGCATGTCAAAGTCAAAGTTTTCATTCAGGAATGAGTATTCTGGATCCTCTTGGATGGGTTCCAAATAATGGTTGATAATGGATCTTTTCCCTGTTGTATTGGTCCCCTTTTCTGCATGCTCAAAACTGTTTAATTTATCCCCTTTTGAACTATCTATAGAAGAATTCATGGGATACTTCAATGGTGATTTTTCTGGGAAAAATTGAGATAAGGAATCTTGTGTAGCACCAAAAGCCTCTGGAGTTCTATCACTGCTGCTTGGTTTGCATGAAAGTGATGGACTATAGAAATTCAGAGATTCATTCATTTTTTCAAAGCTCTTGGTATTGTATTTTGAATTTGATTCACAGGGTTGGTTACTGGTTTTCAAAGCCTTTCCAAAAGGGGATTTGATGTAATCTTCAGTTTTAGTACAGCAAACACTTCTGAGAAGAAGTGAAACACAAAGCTGCATTTCCCATCTCATTTTTGACAAGATGAACACAAATTTATCCTAGCCTTCTGTACTGTCTTCAGAACCAGTTGGTTTAAAGTAAATTTCTCTCTGTGGAGTAGTTTGACGGATAGAATTTAGTTTGGGAAGAAAGAAAAAAACTCCTGCACTTGAGATTGTGCTAGGTCAAGCTTACTGGTAACCTTTGGAGTGAATAATTATGAGTATAGTTGATGGAAGGATGTGAGATGCAAACCCACTTTTCAAGTTAATCCTATATATGCTTATTTAAATTTTTGTTGTTAATAAAACTGACCAATGTGATCATCTTGTTTCTGGGTGATGTTGAAACCTGAAAATCATCCTCTAGTATTACAGTATACATGTCCTCTCATCTGCATGTGGGAGCCCCAACCTTTTTTGTAAAACATTTGGCTTTGATCAAACTTTTCATCATGATAATATGATTAGTAATCACAACTTTGTCATACTTCAACTCAAGTATTTCTCCACCCTTGATGTTTCACTTGTGGTATCTTCCCACAAGAGTTTTCACTGGGGGAAGAGTGCCAGGAATCCAATGTTTGATATTCAGCCCAACACTTTCATTATCAAAAAAAGTTGCTGATAAACCCCTTGAAATGGGCATTGAAATTTCACAAATTTCAATCGTGAAACCTGCTAATCTCTTGATGTCCAGTGCCCATCTATTAGTGATGGAATCATACCTCCTGTCCGTGTGTGACAGGTAAAGGTCCTGGCCATATAAGTGTTGGCTGAAACAGCCTTTAGGGCTGTGTCTAACTGTTGGTGGGTGCCTGTCAGGGTAAAAAGGTGAGGCACCCACTGGCAGCTGCAGGTGTCCAAATTGAGGGGAATTTCAGGCAGGTACCCCAGATGCAAAGTGCCATCTCTAGAGTCTACACCAGTTATCAAGAGTGCAATGCCATTTTTCTCTTGATTACTGACACATGATCATCAAGAGAGTAGAGCTTTCTCACTGAACTGTGCAAGAGAATGTGGTTCTCTCAACTGTGGGCACTAGTCATGAACAACTCCTGCCTTGGCTTTGGGAAAGCAACTCCCTGGACTGTGTCCAATCACACTCCTTAGGGGTTGCTGTTCCAACCCCCCTTTTGCTTCAAATTAGCATGGGGTTTGTGCCAAAAAGGTTAGGCATGATGTCAGAGAAACCTTGCTTGTTATAATTGGCTTTTTGGCGGGATTGAGCTCTTACCTCAACCAGAAGACTATCATTTTTTTTTTTTTTTTTTAAAGTGTAAGTTTGGCCTTTGGCATTGCACACTATGAATATCATTATTTCTACCCACCAGGTTTTGGTATGTTTGTAGCATGTTTTTTTTTCCTGTACTTGCTCTATGGGGCCAAGTTCTGTAGAGGATGCAAGAGTGTAAGAGACAGTTTTTCCTCTACCTAAGGATTTTATTGTTGGGGGACAGATTGGTTACAACCATGTTTCAGGCTGATTCAAATTGGGTAACAGGTGTTGAAAGTGAAAGTGGGGTTTTTTTTTATAAAGGGGACAACTAATAAAGGGTTTGAAAGTGAAAATGGGGTAGTGTGTAGTTGTCCAAGATCAGAAGTGGTAGCGGCCAGGGGTTGGGTCTGCCGGGATTCAAACGCCGGACTCGTCACTATCTTCGAAGTGATTATACTATGTCATCACAGGGGAGACACCAAGCTTCTGTGGGTGATGGTTACCGCTAGGCCATCCAGGCCCTAAGAAAAGACTATCATGATTAATGAATCTTTTTATAATAAGTAAATATTGGATTCAATTTCCTACATATGAATCTGACAAAAAAAGGGGAAAAAAGCAAACAAAAAGTGTATTTAAACATTCATGCTAACACATCAGACCAACAAACTGTTTGAAAGGTTCTCTCCAGGTTATTGTAAAAGAATGAAAAGATGAAGAAGAAGAAGAAAAAAGAATGATTACTGTGTTAAGAATGTAAAGAAATAGAGAAAGAACATAGAATAACTTCAACAACATCGTTTTACTGGACACATTAGAACACTCACTTATACTCAAAACAAAATGATAGATAAAGAAAATGGAAGAAAAAAGAAAGATTACATATTTACATTCATAAAAAACAAAACAACAATCAATAAAGATAACAGGAAAATTGTCTATCATTTATATACGTGACCAACTATCAACAAATCATATGTTTATATCTGTGTTATATAATGTATGTCAAAATCAAAAAGATGTCATGAAAGGAACTACTTCAAAATCAGAATAAAGAATGAGGTTTTCAACAAACAAACAAAAAAAAAACAGGATTACAAGGGGGAGGAAGTTTTTTTTATGGGAAAACTGAACTTATAAACCATACCATACTGACTGAAAAAAATGGATGTACAGAAATGAAAGGAGGATGGAGGCGGGGGCAAAAAAGGATGAAGAACAGGGGATTGGGAAAAAGAGAAGCGTATCCTGGATGGATTCCTTGAACGTTCCCACTAAATCCGACTTAATATATACGTGCGGTTCGACTTTTTCGACATTCAAGAGAGACCAGGACGACAATAATAGGGTCGGATCTGGACGCTTGATCGCCCCGTTTCTTTTTTCGTTCAAGCAGTCAATAAAGAGGCAAACGCGTGCATCTCGAATTCCTCTACATAGTATCCCCACCAACAGAACAAACAATTCTGGATGGTTAGAATGCTGGGTGTATGAAGATGTACAAAGAAAGATTAAGAAGAAGGAGGAGGAGGAGGAAGGAAGACTTACGTCCGACTCCACAGTTATCTGCTCCAGGTCCGAAAATCACCTACAAATACATAAGAAAAAAGAGATCAACAATCAATCAAAGATTAAAGAAAAGGGAGGGAAGGAAGGAAGGAAGGAAGGAAGAACAGACCTCCCAAACATCAGCGCCGGAGACATCCAGCGGTGGCAACGAATGTTTCCCACCCTCACCATGCTCAAGACCGTCATCACCATCCGAATTTCGTTGAAGTTCCCAGATTTCTTTCAACGCAGCACAGAGCGACTTGAGGCCCAACAAGAACCCGCAATCGGGCTGATTGGGATGGGAGGGAGGGAACGAGGCGCGAGGACGTTCGGGGTCGTCCTCGTGGGTCGGACTGGAGGGAGAGATGAAGTCGTCGCCGGTGGTGCAATGAGCGAAGTCGATCAATCTGATGTTCACTTCTCCTCTATGACCCTCCAACTTCTCCCCTTTCTCCTTTCCTTGTTGTTGATTGATGAGGCCTCGTTCGTATTCCAGTTGGGTATGCTTATCGCCATCGTAGATAAACAGTAAACTAGAGGCGTAGAATCGGTATCGGTTTAGTTTACTGACGATCCGGGCCAGCTGGTATAATTTTCGTAAGATCCCCGGGATCTGGTGGCTCAGGATCCGCTCCCCATCGTGGAAGAATTCCGTCAACGTTCCCACAAAGTCCGCCGTCGTCACTTTCCTTCCAAAGTATTTGTCTTGGAATGTGTATCGGTTCTCCGAGACTTTATAAACCTATCAAATTCATTTATTTATTCTCAATTCTAGTCAATCGAAGGAAAAAAAAGAAGGGATGAGGAATTACCTGCATTCCACAGATCCGAACCCCTAGATTCCCACTAGTAGTTTGTTTACATTTAGAAGTCTGGCTGATTTTTTTCTCGGGGGAAGCGTCAATCCCGTACTGACGAGTACCCATTTTGAGGTCCAAGACGCACGGACACAGCAGATTACCCGTCAGGTCTTCCATCAACAAAAACTGTTCTTGTCGTAATGGATATTGGATCGTTTCCTGTGCCTGTAATTGTTGTTGCAGTTGTTGCCGTTGCTGGAGTTGTTGTTGTTGTTGTTGGTGGTGGTGTTTGTGTGGTTGCTTATGGTGTTTGGTTGATGGGGGATGGAGTTCTTGTGATTTCTTGGTTGGGTGCAAGTTGGTTGATGAGACGATTGAAGTGAACTGTAAAGTATCGACCAATTCAGAGGGATGTTCTTGTGAATCGAAGTTCGATCGAGGAGGTTCGACGAGATGAGGTAAATCAGAATACTGGCTGTCGTTCTCCATGCTACAATGAGGGGCAGATTGAGAGGAGGAAGCCGGGGGATGCTGATGATACTGGTCATCGATAGTGGTTTGGGGATGATGATTGGAGGGGTTTTCGTGGTGGACGACGGAGAAGCGTTCTCGATTGACTTGACTATCGCTCATCGTCCGCCGGACTTCGGGACGACCAAGAGAGTCTTGATGATCGAGGGAGGAGACCGGCGAGTCTTCGGGATGTGGGTCGTGGGGCAAGAGGTAGCTACGTCGACGGAGACAGTCCGGGCTGCGAGGTGGCGTGGAGATCTCCGTGGTGGTCTCACGAGTCGAATCAATGCTGTCCTTGAGTCGGGAGGTCCGTCGGCCGTTCCGCCATGGCGGCTTGTGCAGTTGTCCGTTGAGTGGAAGCTTCGGGCTGCTGAAGACTTCCCGTAAGACTTGCTCGCATAGCTTTCGGTTGACTTGAGTTGAGCCTCGGCCTCGGATGGCCGATAGGGACGACGAGCCAGAGCCGGGCGGTCGGAAGTAAGAGGAGAGTGGATCTTTCTCATTTGGCACAGTTCCCAACTGGCCATTCTCGTTCCAGATCGAACATCCATGGGGCGAGCCAACGGGGGTGCTGTGTGGGGTCAAGGGTGAGTTGCGTAAGTTTTTGTTGGCACTAACGATGTCGAGTGGGTGTGGATGATGATCGGATAGGACGAGAGAAGAGGTGGTGTGGTCTGAAGGGAAGCCGATCTCGTCGAGAAGGCCAGGCGAATGAGTGCTCGATGATGGGTGATGATGATGGAAGGAGCGCTCTGGATGATGGTCAGAGGAGGGGTGAGAATCGAAGGGCTGACTCGATAGGAAATCCATCCGGTTCCAGAGGGACGAATCAGGTAGGATGTGTCTGTTCTGACTCAGAGTGACTTCCGGTATCTCGTCTTGATTTGCATCGCCCAAACGGTTTCGTCCATCCTTGTTTCGGAAGACTTGTCTCTGAGATAGGTTTGAGGAACGAGATTGGATCGGTGGGCGATGCGAGTTGTCATCGGTTGAGCTGGCAGATTGAGGGCTGTGATTGATCCTTCGATAGGTCACATTGAGTACGCCTAGATACTGTGGTACAAATGCTAGAAGTTCGGGATGGTCTCTTTCGACGGCCTCATAGAATGTATTTTCTCGACTGACCAGTGGCTGAAAAATCAAGTTGGTTTAGTTGGTTTGGATTATGAATAGATGAGTTTTTTTTTTTTTTTTTGGTTCTTATCAAAACTGACCTTACAGACGGCACGCCTAGAGAATCTGAAGATCGAGTGATGACCTCCTACTTGATTATCGAAAGGTTCGAGTGGTACGGTGTGAGAGATGTGATCGTTGACGAGTCGGATGTTATCACTATCCTTGAAATGGTTATCATCCTCACAGGAGGATAGACTAGATGTTGATGATGAGAGTGATGAGTTCCTGGAGGGTTGATTGATCTTAGGGGGTAGGGTTGGATGGGTGAGTTCAGAGTCAGAGTGTAGTTCGAATTGGTTGGCTTGGTTTGGACTGGAGACGAATGAGGATGAGTTAGATTGTAAAGTGGTAGTGTTGAATGGAATGAATTGATGATGATGGTGGTGGTGGTGGTGGTGATGGTTGCTGATGGTTGAGGATAGTTGTGATCGGCTTTCGTTATTGTATTCGTTCTGAATGGATTTCAAGTAGTACTGAGTGTTTGTTTGATCTGGAAAGTACACAACTCAGATGGAAGGTGGTCAATAGATGTGAGATAGTAGGGGCTTACGTTTGAAGAATGGTTTCTGGATGTACTCGTTAGTTCTTGTCTTCCGATCTCATGATGGTCTGATGATTCTAGGTCGAGTGGAGTGAGCTGGATGGAAGGAATAGTCAGTCTGATAGGTTCTTGTTTCTATTCTTGGCCAGTGATACTCACTTGATTCCTAGCAATTAGTCTGATTGAGGTTGAGCATGTGCGATGTGGGGATGGTTGGATGTGATGGTTGTTGTTTTCAGATTGAGTTCGTTTGTTCTTGTTGTTGTGGGTTGATGAGGATGATGGTCTGGTTGAGGATGGTGATGATGAGATTGGGTTGAATGAGCTTGAGGATGATGGTGAGGTGGTGATTGGGTTGAGTTGTTCGTTATTCTTGGGTGATTGGGGTGGTGATGAGTTGTTGTTGTTGTTGTTGGTCTCTTTGAATAGTTGTAGGCTGACTGATGCTTTCCTTGAGGTAGTAGTGGTTGATGGTGAGTTGGTGGTCATGGTGTTGTTGTTGGTTCTTGGTGGGTTTTTTTTTTTTTTTGGTGAGTTGGTTGAGTTGATGATGAGTTTGCTGTGTAACTTGTGAGCTCAAGTTTGTCAAAAAAGTTAAGTTAAGTTAGTCAAACAACCCCCCCTTACACCGCACACGGCCAACAGCTGATGATCACGAGGGCGATGAAAAAAAACGAGAACCCTCGGCTTTACAGGTGGTCAATATGGGGGTCGAACCCATGACATCCGCATGACATCCTGTGTGACAGGTATTAGTACGGCGCTCTAACCAACTGAGCTAATCGACCAGAGACCATGGACGTTTACGTAAAACCGAGTACAAGACTTCTTAGATCGGCCCATCACGGTGTCATGTATCCCAAGATAACGTCAGTTTTTCTCTTGGACGTCAATCATTTTGAATTCATAGATATCCATGGTAATCAATAAATTGTGCTCTATCTATTGAGTTTAGGGGTGATCAGGATCTTATATTGAACAATCAAGATATGGAGAGTCAACTAAATTAAAAAAGAAAGAAAGCAAAAAGGAGAGAAAACGATTCTAGAAGGATGTATGATCACAACTTGATCAAACGGCCTTATTCTTTCGTTTTCTGATCTTAGGAGGAGGGAAGACGAGAGGCACAACAAGCTTCGCGATCGTCCGTTGGGCGTTGAACTCCTTGGCATCTTTGCTTGCTGGGCCTTCTTCCAAGGCCTCGAATTCCGGAACCGTTAGCTTGCTCATCTTGCATCCTAAATTCAAGAAGATATCATTGATACTACATAAAACATCAAGCATTAGTTAGTTGACATGAGTTTATAGAGGTTTGGGTTCAAGAAGTGGCGTTACCTTTTCGTTGGCTCTTGTAGGTCGTCTGATAGGCCTGAAACCCGAGTCATATATTCATCATGAATCAAACACAACACAGCGATATAAGAGTATAATTTGATTTTGGAGAACGAGGTGAGATTGTGTTTCAAGGAACCATCGGAAGTTTTGACAGGTTCAGTAAACCGATTCAAGATCCCATCGATGATCGAATCTGGGGTGGTCGAATCTTGATCGATTGCCAATTTGTTGGAAATGCTGTCCCGTGAGAATTTGTGTAATCGTCTGATGGCGATCAAATAGCTGATATAGATCAGGATCCGTAATCGTTTGGTCTCTTTCTTGTCTAACTTTCCATCCGGACATCGTTTCCATAACGCGTTTAATCGGCTATTGACGAATTGGGAGTGAGATGTAGGTAAGCAACGGGCGGCGTCTTCAGCGGTTCGCGCGTTGAGGATGGGCCCCATTGGGATCGAGTTGAGTTCGAGATTGGTGACGACGTCGGAGAGTAAGTAGACGTCTTTAGGATTGGCGGCGTTGATGTTGTAAGGAGGGATTGGTCGATTGGCGTCAACTTCTTGGGCTTGGACGGTGGCGGAGGGTAGACAGGAGGAGTTTTCGGCGATCGCCGCGCTGATCTGGCCCTCAAGATGCGTCATCGTCTCCGGATCTACTTTATTTCTGGCGGCAGCTTGGAGCGCTCGACGCGCTTTCTTCGTCCCAAACGTCGTCCCCAGTGTCCGTCTGGCCTCGTAATTATCCGTGGCTTGTTCTGTGAGTCGGTTGTCATCCACGTCCCTCAATCGTTTGACGACCGGTCGTAATTGGTATAGTTGGGTAGGGAATAACGTCAGTCTACCCGCACTGGCTACATGTAATCCTAGCATGTAACTACAGTTGGATTGGTCGGCTTGGTTCTCTGATCGGAACTCTAGCTCGTTTGTCTGGCCTAGTAGTAGAGCAGGCGATTTCTCATTCGATCTATGGCTGTATAACTGGAATTGGGTGGTTGATGGATCCGGTTGAACGTCTGGAAAACTGACTGTGATTGAAGACCAAAACAACCGGCGATTAGAAACAAGTTTTTTATTGATATTTCTATCGTCGAAACTGTCTATCTCACCAAGTGCCGGACCAACGTAATTTCCTTTCGCCTTTTCCATCGCGAGGGCTACAGTCACCGTTTTGGAAGACATGCTGGGCTGTTTATTTGGAGGGCAGCTAGATGGATTGGCTTCAGATTCAAAGAAGATGGGGTTGGAGGAAAGTCAGTTGTCAAAGAAAGAGAAGAAAGAGCTCACGTGATCTCTCTTTAGTTGAGGAAGTAGTCGGTCAAGCCAACCCCGAAAAAAACAAACAAGTGGAGTACATGTTCGTGGATATTGAATATATGCAATTCGACCATCCCCCTCTCCAAACCCGAACAAACTACAAATAATTCCATCTTTGGGGAAATACCATCTGCTCTAAAACAACCGATCACTGAAACGAAAAAAAAAAAAAGCAAAATGGCAAGCTCACAAAGACTGATGAAGATTCAATCGGAACTCAAACAAATCCAGAGAACATGGCCGTTGGATCCACTGAGAATCAATCAACCAGAACTTCAAATCTCTTCGTCTATCTCCAAAGCTATCGAACGAGTCTTCTCGAATAATTACAAGAACGATCAGTCCGTCTCTTCTCAAGAACTACTGGAACAAAAAACTCTAGAGGGGGCTGAGAAGATGTTATCTAGTTTGGAGAACCTTTCGAACGGTAGTATTGCAAGACAAGTAAGCTTTCTTCTCCTATCGTCTTTCTTTTTGTTTCCACACAGGCTGACTGCAGGTTCACGTTAATCAATCGATTTATCACTCAGTATCCTTTCCCGAAATCGATGCGCAATCCGGCCTCGTTTCCTGGCCATTATGAGGAGTTGAACGAAGGCGTCCAACGAGCTATCAGAGGAGAATCTTTACCCTGGTATCGAAGATGGATTAGATTTACGTGAAAAACATCGTCATTCACTTCGTCTCCAGTCCTTACAACGTCCATCAAAATCATACTCCAGCAAAAAGCTTGTTCTCGATGGCCCATCGTATCTTCGATCACTTCTTCTGTTGTGTCACAAAGAAAACTGTCCTATATATAAGCCTCTGCAATGTAAATTTAACCTGACAATAACGAGTCAAATACAAAGAAAACCATGCTTATACATAATTGAAGGGGTCCATTGAACCTCATTTGTGTCTGTTGAAAAATGATAAAATGTAGATCTCTTTCCAGCAAACTAGTGGTATGTACATACAGTCCATGAAAGCTTTTCACAGTGATTTATTATGAACCAGGTTGTCAGCCAGTCAAAGGAAACCCCAGAAAGAGGATTCACACAGAAGATTTCTTACAAGAAGAGGAAAAAATATCTTCGTGAATTCATAATTTATATCTAATCATCCCACAATAAAAAGTTTGGATTGACAGTTTTGCATGATGTGGTACCCTAGCTCTAATGGACACGTCCTAAAGGTGCTCAGTTTCTTACTGGCCAGTAGTCCAATTGCCCTTATTTGCCAGCATGAGAAATTCCACCAGAAATTTTATGTTTATATTAACCACCTTGTCATTTTGAGGGGAAACTATCTTTCTTTCCTCTTGAACCACCATTATATGTATCATACAACTGGATCAAGATCTATGCACAACTCCAGTGCACTTCCTCAAGAGATTTTCCTAGAGGAATTCCTTTTTCCTTCAAATGATACATACTTGTATTTCCATCATTTTTCAAGACTAGTAATCCCTTGAGCCCAAATTGATAACTAAACCTCAACAAATCCTATCCATCCAGAATGTGTTTCTTTCTTCAATCTTTGATCTGTCCCTTGATTTGATGCGACTTGATTTGCTTTCTTCATAAGTCCAAGCTTCAATGTAGAAAACAAAGATGGATGGAGAATGAACTAGTAACTGATTTTTAAATAATTTGAAAAAGACACTGGATCATCTGTACTTTGAGATACATACTGATTCTAATATGAATGAAACCTTTAGCTAACTCAGTGACATCATTCCTGCTGAATGCCCGCCTACCATTTGATTTTCATGAATGGCTACATATATGGGAATCTATTGATTTTTAGTTATCCACCTTAGATGCAAACAGTTAAGGATCAAAATTGTCAGAATAAGCCCCCTGGGGCTGAAACAGTAGCTAAGCGTTACAAGAGCAAAACAGTTGATGAAACAACCCAAAGTGAGTTGATGCATGTAGCACTCAGGATATCCCTGACATGTAACTCACCTCAGCCTCTTCTGTTTCAGATCCAAGCAGCGAAACACCTCGCCACAGCCATTGGGACCAAAGCCACCCGAAACCAGTCGCCAAGGACAGCGGCGAGAGCAAGAGCGATGAGACGAGCAGCACGGCATCTCCGTGAGTATATAATCAGGCTCTCTCATCAGATCAAGCGATCACCAGAACTCATCATTCGCTCTCGTTCTACAGCTCCATAGCGCACAGAATCAGCAATCCAACCGGACCAACTCTACTCACTAGAATAATCCAAGAAAACAGCGAGTAAGTCCGTAGTTGGCTGATTAGACAGTAAGAGAGGATTGTGGCTAACCTCCGTGACCAAACAGATCACAATCCGAACCCACAACACTGTCATAGACCTCAGGGACCGAAGCACGATATCTCCCATAAAACACCAAAGTAAATAGCAACCAGACATTAACAGCAGAATAAGATAAGCACATGCTGACAACCCAATGATGCTGTTATTATGTAGAAAAAACTCAATCTCATCTTCCCGAATTCATATCTTCTCTCAACTCAATCTCTCTCTTCAATCATCTGTTATCGGCAACACCGAAACAGACTTTTCTCTCAGCCAAGAAGCATAACAAGTCGTTCTGCTCTTAGGTACATTTCGGTTATCTTATGTTTTGCTTCTAGACTCTTGTATATACAAAGCTTCATAAGAACCGTGATCTAATGAAATAATACTCTTAGTTGTCTTAATTCTTACAGATTTACAGTCTCGATCTTCGAGTTACACCTCAATCGAATTCAACATTCAACTAAGGAGCAGGACGATCGACATGGTGAACCCAGCCAACGCCTCAACCTCATCAGCTTCAACCTCAACAAAAAAGGAAGAAAAGGAAGTCATCACCATACCAAAGTTCAACGGGGAAAACTTCAGCATTTGGGAGTCCACGATGAGTGCCTACCTGGAGTTCAAGAAGCTTTGGTATATCTGCGAGACCGATGTGCTCAATCAAGAGAACATCAGCGACACTACTAAGAGCGATGCACTCGAAGTATGGCTTATCCTCAGCAGCAAAATCAGCCCCGAAATCTTCAACAGTTTAAAGAGCTCCTGCGGTCGTGACCCATACAAAATATGGAGCAAACTCAAAGAAAACTACGCCGCCGCAAACATCTACGGCATCTATAGAGTTTGGGTGAACTACGGAAGAATCACTTACGACAACGATCTACTGAAGTACATCATAAAGATCGAAGGAGCCCTAGCCGAGATCAGTACGATTGGCATCGACGTCATGCAAGAGTTAGTCAGCGTATCCATCATGGAAAAACTCACCGAAAAGCGCCCGGCCTTAATGGAGAGACTTCTGGCAGACATCGACACGCTGTCAAACCCATATCAACTATTGGCTCGCCTCCGTCAGATTGCCAATCATGATCAAGTGAAGAAGATCCGCGAACTCACCACGAGTCACAGTCAAGCGTTGGCAACCACCACTCAGCCCCAGCACACTCAACCACAACAAAAGAAGCAGAAAATCTACTGTAAGGGAGGTAAACACAACCCGCAATCAACGCATCCACACGATGAAGATGAATGCTGGACATTGCACCTGGAGCTTCGACCTTCACCGGACGTGAGACCTTTCAGACCGCAGAAGAGAGCAAGGGCGTCAAACTACTCAACCACAACGGCACCCATTGCTCCTGAAGAAGACTATGCTTACTACTCCGATCAAGACGAAGCAAAAAGAAACGCTTTCATCCTTGACTCAGGAGCTAGCCAGCACATGTTCAACACACTGGACATGTTCATCGAATCACATCCGACGCAAGTGCTGATTGTCACTGGATCCGGCGCGACAAACATCGACATGATGGCCACCAGAAGAGGGACAGCAAGAATCAGGCTGGACGACAATTCAACCATTACGCTGAAGAACTCACTATTTGTCCCCAATCTTTCGACCAACCTGATATCGTTCGCTCAGCTCATAAAAAGCAATGCAAGAATCACCGTTCAAGAAAGAAGAATGATCGTCACGTTAAACAACTCGCATTCTCTTCGCATCAACACGGCGAACAACCTCTTTGAAGTAGAGGGAATCATCCCTAGCGAGCAAGCCCTCAACACCATGGCGACACAGGCGTGCAAGTTCGACGTCTGGCACAGACGATTCGGTCACGCCAGCGCACCCCGAATCAGAGAAGTCATCCCCAACAAGGATGAACTCAGTGCCAAAGTCACCTGCGATGCCTGCGCAAAAGGCAAAATGATCAAGTCCCCGTTCAAAGGACACTTCTCTCCGACCTCGGTCCCTCTTGAGGTTGTCCACGGAGACATAGTTGGGCCCATCTCGCCATCCACAAATGGAGGATGCCGATACTTCCTGACGTTGGTGGATCAGCATACAGGATTCATCAACATCACACTTCTTAAGGAAAAGTCAGATGCGACAAGGGCGATCGTCGATTTTAAAACGCTCTTTGAAAAGCAATCTGGCCACTGCATCAAGAAGATGATAACAGACGGTGGTGGAGAATTTTGTAACAACGAGCTCAGCGCGATCCTGAAAGAAGAAGGCATCCAGCATAATATCGCTCCACCCTATACCCCACAACACAACGGCATTGCGGAAAGAGCCAACAGGACCATAATCGAAATGACCCGCTGCATGATGTTACTGTCAGCTTGCTACTATAGCAGAGACAACCTGTCATAGTACACAAACACTGTAGAAAATACAAAAAAGACATTATTATGAATAGTGCAGGAAATAAATGAGAAGATCAAAGAATAAGGGTATTATTTCTCAATATTCTTAATCTATATGAAGAATAACCTAGGGTACCTCACTCAAAGGTACCCTATATTTCAACTACTTCATGTGGCAAATCTACATTAAAGATATAGAGTGTACCTTCAAGCAGGAGATGAAATATGCTTATGTTTATAATTAAATATGCTAATAAACAGGTTTAAGACCTGAAACTGATTTGTTGTTTCAAACATACAATTGTATATTGATAACACGTGTGTGGCACCTTTCCAAGGAAATAGCCACATGTTTCAGCTTTAATCTTCTACAGAACACCTGTGGCACATTTCCAAGGAGATGGTCACATGTTTCAGCCTCCATGCATGAAGCACCCACAAGTTGACCCTGATCTCCCAGATTCCTCCACGGGTATATAAAGAGCCCTCTGTCCCCCCAAATAAGGATTGATCAGATTATAACAACCCACTTTAAATTACCCACCGTCACAAAATGCTCAACTTTTGTATCTGTCTGGTAATGTATTGTCTCTTGCTTTAATTCTCTGTCTATCAGAACCTCAAGACTTAAGGGGCTTTATTAGTACATAATGCCCCCTTCTTTCTTGAGATTCTTACTACTTTCTTCTGGGATTTAAACCACCCCTGTTAAACAGGCCCCAGTGTTAACAGGTACCTAAATCCTCTGCTTTTGCATGATACCTTAGAGGGAACTAAACCACCCCTGATTTATCAGGCCCCTCTGTTTAAATTATATCAATATTTATTGATATAATTATTCATTTCTACTATCTAATAACCTTGTAATTACCAATCATCATTGGAATTACCACCCAAACTCTTCAGTTCCAGAGCTCGAACTCTGTCATCTTAAGTTTTGCACCACGTGTAGCTAGAAGATTAACCATCTTGGCATCACGATGGCTGACAGTTACAATCCAATGTAGCAGCTGAATGGTGGGGAGAGGCGGTACAGACAGCAGCCAACATCACGAACTGTCTTCCGTCATTATCCAAAAGTCGGTCCACGCCAAGACAACTCCTTCTAAAGCAGCAGCTGAATCCCTCATTTCTCAAACCTTTCGGTTGCCAAGCATGGATTCTAAAGCCTAAAGCCAATCGAGGAAACAAGTTCGACGCGATTTCGTGGGAAGGCACACTCATCGGATACACCAATGACATGACCTCCTACAGAATTTTTCGGCATGAAGACAGAAAAGTCATCTTTTCAAGACAAGTCAAGTTCGTGGAGAACATATTCCCGACCTGCTCGGCCATAAACAAAAGTCTGGCCGTTGGTACGGAGAACCTGGATATTCTGCCATTGTTTTCATCGGAGCCGATTCTACCTTTCGAAGAATCTTCAATGGAAGCCAGCAACGAAGACACACCCCCTGATGATCCTACAGAAGTCACACAGGATCATCCAACCGACCCAACAGCCGATAAACGATGGGTATACGTCAAGAACTTCAAACCAGCGCAACTCATATCCAGCACTGTCAACGAAGAAAACATCCTGGAAGGCAAGAGAACACGGTCAACCACGTGTCTAGTCTCAACATCCCTTGATCCTAAATCTCACAACATGGCGATGAAGAGTCATGAGGCTTCAAAATGGAGAGAGGCTGAACTCAAGGAGATCAGCAACATGAAAAAACATGACGTGTGGATTGAACGTACGCGTCAAGACTCGGATTCCCCCATCTCATCGACCTGGGCTTACAGAAAGAAGCTAGGACCAGACAATCAAGTCGTCGAATACAAAGCGCGAATCTGCGCGCAGGGATTTCGTCAAACGTATGGAGTTAACTTCGAACTGAAGTATGCTCCCACAGGCAAGGCGGCGTCACTCCGCTTGCTCCTGTCATACGCGGTCAATCAAGATCTGGCAATCCATCAGCTGGATGTGCGCAGCGCATTCCTAACATGTCCGCTAGAGGACACGGTAACCCTCCTGCCTCCTCAGGGATATGCATGCCCTCCGAACACGATCTTTGAATTGAAGAAAGCCATATACGGTCTTAAGCAAGCCTCGCTGGTTTGGTATAAACGCCTCAGCAACTTCCTTCTCAGCATCGGCTTCGCGGCAACCGTCTCTGACCCATGCGTCTTCCACCGTGCGCCAGCAGCTGGCAAGCCGGCAACCTGGATCTACGCCCACGTGGACGATCTAGTCGTTATCAGCAGCAACCCGGCAATCTTCAAAGCCGAGATCGAGCAAGAATTTGACATCAAGTACCTTGGGCAGGCAGCATTCCTCCTTGGAATGAACCTGGACAGGACAAGCGACTCTCTCCATATTCATCAGACGCAATACGTGGAGAGGAAACTCGTGGAGTTTGGCCTTGACACCGCTCCGCCCGCTTCCTGCCCTCTCAATCCCAAGATTCACCTAAAAAAGGCCACCCCAGCGGAAATTGCCGATCTCAGCAAGCTCAACGTCAACTATCGTTCGATAGTTGGGGCGCTCAACTACCTTAGCATCTTGACCCGACCCGACATTTCCTATCCGGTAAGCGTCCTTTCGCAGCATCTGGAGAATCCAGGAATACAGCACTACCGGGCAGCGGAACAAGTGTTTCGGTACCTCTCCGGCACCAAACAAGTGGGCCTTGTCTTC